GTTTTTTTAATTCGCAACGCTTGTTTGTAATTATCAGCGTGTGATTTATGCTTCATGCCAAGGAATTGCCTCTGTTGAAATTCTGCAAACACCCCATAGAGCAAATTACATGGATGATTAATATTGACCATTTGGTATATGGCCGTGTTCTAAGCGACACGTACATGAAGGTCATAAATTAATTTGTTGAATGAAATCAAATCTTTTTTTATCTACTAATGAGTGCCGTAGGAGGTCGACCGGAATTTTTAGCGAGGATTTCATGGCATGTAACAGATAGAAAACTCAGGGTTAGAATTCATAGAACAGAAAAGGGGCAGTGGCAAATATTTCATGTATATTATGAACACAGAGAAGATTACCCCGGCACCCTTTGCCAAAAAAAAACCCTTCTTTTTCTTATTTGTGCCTTCGGACTTTATGTTTTGAATTGTAGTTTCACTTTCCATATTCGGTATTTATTAAAATGTAAGCTCCACGCGGTAAAAATCATGTGATGCAGGAATATAGTATCTTGGAGTTCAGCTATTTCTTTCTTTTCGGGCGGGGACTCCAAGCAAACAACATGCATGTGTATAACGGCACTGCAGATTTTCGTATTAAATAAAGAAATTTGCCGGTCCGGTACATGAATAGATTGGTTAGAGGGTTTTAATTTTAATTAGATTGGAAAGATTAATTCGAGGGTTGAAAATAGAGAGCACAAAAAAAGAGGGGGGGGGGGAGGTGTTCCACAGGGAATATTTATATCTTATGAACTCTACATTTGAAAGGTTTGTTATTTTTTTTTTTATTTAAAAATTTAAAAATTGCCTCCGTTGAAATTCTGCAAACACCCCCATAGAGCAAATTACATGGATGATTAATATTGACCATTTGGTATATGGCCGTGTTCTAAGCGACACGTACATGAAGGTCATAAATTAATTTGTTGAATGAAAAATCTTTTTTTAGCTACTAATGAGTGCCGTAGGAGGTCGACCAGATTTTTTAGCGAGGATTTCTTGGCATGTTGTAATCTCATTGTGTTTTTCCAAGTGTAAATTTTGTAAAAGATGATCTGACATATACATTTCCATGTGCCCGTGTATTAGAGGGTCACAGCTCCATTTATGTTCCACAATATACCCTTTTGTGCACATCTTTACTTTGCATTTTTAACTCGCAGAATGTGAGACATAGGTACAACAATCCTGCGGCGTTTATATAAAATGAAGATGTGATATGGTTGCCAATGAGACAACTCTCACAAGAAACCAAATGTCACATAAATTAAAAACATGACGGCCTTCAATAAGCTCATATTGATACCCAGCTATACAAGACCCCGAAATGACAAATGTAAAACAATTCAAACGAGAAAAAAAAACAACCTGACGAAAAACAAATATGTATCACAGCAACAAACGACAACCACCGAATTACAGGCCTCTGGTTTGGGACAAGCAAATACAGAATGTAGCGGGGTTAAATTCGTTTTTTTGGCGCCAAACCTTCCTAACATGGGACAGTGGTATGACGGTACAATGAATCAGATGGATACAAATAGAAATACATCGAATAAAAACAGAGTATACGTGGACGGGTATTTGTACATCACAACATATTTGTACAGATCTGATAGTACTCGCAGTTACTGACAGCTAGTTCAAAGCCTATAAAAACTATAAAAATAAACATGCATCTAAGAATAACTTTGTTTAAAACTTTTTAATTTAATTTTGGATGTAACGCGTCTTCTGATTGGCTGACGTTGTTTTGTTTATCAGCTCATAGACATAATTTTGTCATGTGACCGTGACGTCATCAACGTTTTTTTATGGTTTACTCCGGTTTAAAATGGAATTTAGAATAAAATTATAAGAAATGACTCATATTTTTTCTGTCTATTCGAAATAACATAAAAAATGTGGTGCACACTTTAAAATAACCCGCTACGCGGGTTATTCAGTGTGCACCACATTTTTGATGTTATTTCTTCATAGACAGAAAAAATATTACAGTCATTCCTTAAATAATTCTGAAGCTAGCAGACCTGGATGCAGATACCTTGTTTAAGAAGTTTTCATATGTCATATTATCCTTCACCTCATTTTCATGGTTCAGTGAGTGTTGATAAAAAATACTGTTTCGGAGTGAAATACTCTCTTGTTTTGAGCAATAGGACAACCATATTTGGTAAAACCATGTGAACATGTCTGTCTGGAAGGTTTTATATGACCTTGGCCCTTTTTTTTATGGTGGAACTGTTCTATGATAGTCTATATTTGGTATAAGGAATGATTTTAAGGTTTTCATGTCCGGCCAACAGAGTTCAAGTTACCTTGACCTAATTTGTATTGTTCATTGGAAAATGTCAAGTTGATGTGAATTGATACATATCAGCGTGTGCATCTTGTTATTTTTTGAAGGAAAATAAATACTTTTCAACTATCGGGCATAGAAAAGTTCAGTCTTGCTACCCCAAAACAGCCCCAAAAAACATTAATTTTGAAAAATTTACTAAAGATTTTATTTTATGTTCTTATATTTTCTTATTAGTATTATATTCACTTTGTGTTATAGATCAAATTTATTTGTTCAATAGACTGGCTGACCAGGAAGAAGGATTGGAAATTTGAACCTCCACTGAAGAATTATGTGATCAATAGAGGCTGAAAATTTGACTTGAAGAAGGCAATAGTGCTATAGACTCCTCATAGAAATGCTATAAAGAAGTGCTGATAATATGGGCCAAATTGTCCTAATATAAGATACATTATACATCTTGCACAGCGAACGACTTCTTTTATATATAACAGAAATAATTGGAACATTTTGCAGTATACGTTGGAGTGATCCATATCAAGACGATTTGCATTAATTGTATAATTTCTGGATTTATTCATACGCATTCTGTAGCAAGAGAAATTTATCTATACATGCGTTCATTGAACTAGCACACAATTTTATTTAGGGGCCAGCTGAGGACCACCTCCGAGTGCGGGATTTTCTCGCTGCATTGAAGACCCATTGGTGGCCTTCGGCTGTTTTCTGCTCTTTGGTCAGATTGTTGTCTCTTTGACATATTCCCCTTTTCCATTCTCAATTTTATTTCCAATTTAAAAGAATATTTTTTTTATAAAAACATAGTGGGAAATAACCAAGTTCTGTAAATACAGGAAAGTTGGCGGTATTTTTAGTCACATTAGTTTTTGTATGAAAATTGTCATATGGTCTGCACATTACTAGGTTGTCTCATTGGCAATCATACCACATCTTCTTTTTTGCATTTCCTATAAACATTTAAAAATCTACCTTTTACAATAACTAATCTGATACAAATGTATTACAACTTTTTACCATGCATTCAAAAAATATTTTAATGGTTTATTTCATACATGTACATAATGAATAATCATTTGCATTCCAACATACTTCTTTTCAAGGTATTTTGTGACTTTTCCGTTTATACTATTTTTATGTCACCTAAAAATTTTTTTCAAAACTTTACATGCAGTTTTTCGCTTATTAGATGTGAATATAAATTGTATGGTGATACTGAGTATCTTGCTGTATTTGCATTAACAGTGACCAGATTTCTCTACCACAAAAGGTCAGATACCAGGCATTACTATCTCTGTCATAAGTTAGGCCTTTGCAGTGGACGATAACAGAATAATATCACCGGCTTATATTAAGCAATTCATTCTTATAGAAGTTTTAAAATAAATTAAACATAAAAAATCGAGGAATCACATTTAAATCTCAAAATAAACACACACAAAAAATTGAATCCATTTATGACATTAAACAAGTAGATAGTTACGGTTTCTAGGGGAAAAAATCTTTTAATTATCTTGTATTAGGTTTAACCAAGTATCATAACCATAAAATACTGGATGTTTTATTTTTTCATTAATCGAAGAAAAAAACCCAGAAAAAACCCACATTACAGCCAATAAACTAAAACAATTAATACTTCTATCTATTTGACAAAACAAAAACTATATAGAAAAAAAAGAAATAATAATTCAGAAAACACAATCATCAATCATAGGCCGAAGTAATGGTCCGAATTTGGTATAGGCCGAGTTAACCAGTAGCGTCATAATCGACCCAAAAATACAAATACAAAATGGAGTTGTCTCCCTTTCAGGTTCGGGCGACCAATTTTTGGTAATTTCCACGATAAAAAGTTTTTGGCAAAGTTGTAAGAACAATTTTAAGTCAAATATGAAAGATTATTACATTTGGGACATAAAATAAGAAAGCGAATTTAATCACTTAGGCAGATTAAGGTTTGGTTTTAGAAAAACTTTTAGGTTCGGGTTACCACTTTTACCGAGGTGGAAATTAATAAACCTTAAATTTATCATTGTTAGTGATGTTTGGAAAAAAACCTTTTCATACATGAGATAAAATTTAATTATACATCAAATATATAAACGTTTGTAGAAAAAAACGAAACATAAAGGGCATAATATATGTAAAATAAATTTCCGGTTCGGCAAATTTCCGGCAAATTCCGGTTCGGGTTCGGGTTCGGGTTACCACTTTTACCGAGTACCTTAAGAACTAAGAATTTAAGTTGAAATATATGACAAGGTTGCTGATAATGCATCACAAGTATCTGAAATGAATTATTTGATGCAATTAAAACTAAACATAAATGATATTCATCAGATCTATTTATCTCTTCATGACATAGTGTAAGAATGATAGCTATAGGTATATTTTGGGTAAAAAAATATATGATAGAGAATGTATTTTTGTTTATATTCAAAAATATATAAAAAGTGTGGGGTACTCAAAATTATGTCTCTGCGGATCATCTCTCTACCACAAAAACGCCAAATTGCACCTTAGTGCTAATGGTGTGTCAAAATTTGACTTTCAAAGAACAAACAATTTCTTATTACCAAATTATACCATGCAGTATAATTTGATACATGACACATGTGTTTCACTTCCCTATCTGACATCAGAACTGTTTAGATCCATTTTAAATGACATCTCACCTTGATACAATAAGTTTACGTTTTGTCCTCTGACACTGACCCTTCCTAATTCCATGATTTTTAACCATTAGTTCTAATACATTTCTCTTAGACTCTGTTACGGCGAAGATACAAAATGTGTTTTGGATAAATAGGCTGTTTGCATCTCCAACAGTGAAGACTTTTATGTTGATTTTGGTGGGAAATTTAAATCAGTAAGGGGAGTTAATTCATGACACCTGGGACTATTATATATTATATCCCAGATGACATATAATTAATTTTTACATAATTAACTATATCTCTTTTGTTTCTAAATTTCAAAGTGTACAAAAAATAAAATACTTATAGGGCCTAGTGCTTTGTTCATGCAAGGATTTGTATTACTATTTGAATATAATGGAAATGTCAATCAATATTGATACTTAGGTATAATGCTTTTAAAAATGTAATGGTAGCTTTATAAATTCAGCCATTTCCGTGTTGATGGAAAAAGCTAGAAAAGTTTATTTTAAAATAAAAAAAAACAGTTGGGTTAAACAACCTATGTAAACTATTAGATAAACTTTTTGACTCGGTTATATCAGCAATATTGTTATACTGTTGTGAAGTGTGGGGTATAGAGAGTGCTTTAAAAAATCTTGACTCTGAAACATTATAATGAAAGAGGGTCTGGATGGGGTTTACAGAATAGAGAATAATGGGCAAAAAGTACAGAATAAATGGCAAAAAATATAAAGAATAGAGAAAAATAGGCCAAAAAAATAAAGAATAGAGAATAATGGGCAAAATTTATAAAGAATAGAGAAAATGGCTTGAAAAATTAAAGACTACAGAATTAAAGGACCACCCCCCAAAATTGAAACCCTCATGAAACACCATATCAAATGTATTAAAGAAATCCTATGAGTTAATTGTAAAGCTTCTAATGTTGCAAGTAGAGCTGAATTAGCTAGATTTCCCATATGAACTAAAATTTTTATGTCCTCTATTAAATATTTGGACCATTTAGTTAAATCTGATCAAACATTAGGTCACGATTTATATAAAGCCACTTGGAAAACCAATCCTTGGGCAATTAATATTGTGACATGTCTCCAAAAACTTGGGTTCACCTTTTTGGCCCAATGATTAGATAAAAATATTAAACCATTTTTTAATCAATTAAATCAGCGCATTTTAGATCAAAAACCTACAAGATCATTTTTCCAACGAATGAAAAATTCGATTTTTTCCGTAATATTTCAAAGGTAGGAGAACATAGTGGTTGACGTTTGTTGCTGTATATCATATTTGTTTTTCGTTCATTATTTTGTACATAAATCAGTCTGTTAATTTTCTCTTTTGAATAGTTTTACAATTGTCAATTCAGGGCCTCTAATAGCTGACTATGCGATATGGGCTTTGCTCATTGTTGAAGGCTGTACAGTGACCTATAGTTGTTAATTTCTGTGTCATTTGGTCTTTTGTGGAGAGTTGTCTCATTGGCAATCATGCCACATTTTCTTATTTTTATATATACACCGTATGTTGATCAACTTACTTTCAAGTCTGATCGTTATAGCTAAAATGAGATTAAGTGCTCATTCCCTTGAAATAGAAAGAGGGAGAAACATGTACAACAGAATGGTAAGAAATGAAAGATTTTGTAAAGTGTGTACACACAACAAAATTGAAGATGAAAATCACTTGTTTGGCACTGCCTTAAATATTAAAAGGAAAGAGAAATCCTTGACAAAATTGTCTAAATTTTACACAAATTTTAGAAATATAAATAATGCAAGCATACTGTCAAAACTATTGTTAAATAGTGGGTCACATTTCTGAATTGTTGAAAGTTAGAAATAATGTTTTACAAAACCATTAATAATATTAAATATCAATCTCCTGTTCAGAAAGTATTGATTTATATAATTTAGTTGTTGTAATTTTGTATTTTGTATTTAATGTGTTTCTATGCAATGTACTACTTTGAGCCTTTACCAATTGCTATACATGTAATTGCATTTGTGCTAATAAAATATTGTATACATTGTCATTATATATATACCTTTATATGTTTCTGATGCAGCACAAATTTAGCTCAATGCCATAGATGTACTTAATACTTTCAAGGATTAAGGATCATAACTGTATCTATCCAAAGTTTGGTAACAATTAGAATTCACATTATTTTTTAATCAAATCATTTTGAGCCAGATAATATTATATTAAGGGGAAAAAAACAAAAATGTATACACTAAGATGCCTTGCATGCTAACTGATCATGATTGAATCTTATGTTGAAAGTCTTTTAACATCAAGATTTTACTATAGATATTGCATAAACTTAACATTTATAGTTGACTTATTTCTTGCAATATCTGAGAAAAATGCATTTCCACAAAAACTTAATGTTGACCAATGAACCATTAAAATGAGGTCAAGGTAAGATGAAACCTGTCTTATGGAAATATAAACATTAAACGACTTGTGACGTTACTTAACAGAAACAATATTCGATAAACAATGTGATGTTTTGTGCTTTTTATTCTTAAATTATATTTTCTGAACCATGCACTTTTTATTTTATCAAAATATACAGAGATTAATTGTGGAAGTATGATTTCAAAGGCTGAAATTCTAAATAATGTTGCATTTCACAACCAGCTTTTTACAGTTACAATTATTCATGAAACTAACTAGTTAATGAATTGACTTTCAAATTTTTCTTTCTGGTTTAAAAGACTTATTGTTCATGGTTATAATAACAATGTTGATCAATCATTTCGTCTTGTATTTGAAGTTTGAAGCAACCCCTTTAAATGTTTCTTTAATTTTTTTCTGCTTTGTAATTCTGTACAATTTGTACTTGGCATTGCACAAGATAGGGTGTTCCTGTAAGGTCTATGATGCTGCTGTATGAAATCGTCCATGAAGTAAAGCAATATATGAGTGCAGGACAGCATCGTTCCCAATAAACTGACAATCACAAATCAATACATGTAAACTAAGCAAAAGTTTCAAAGTCAACAGACTATGTCTGTGTAGGTGCAGCTAAAGAATCTCCATGGAAATCTGTTTGTGTCAATGCTAAGAAAACTTCATACCAAATATCATGGGGCTACCACTAGTGGTTCCTTATAAACTGACCTAATCACAAACGCGTCTGGCGTATTAAATAATAAGCCTGGTACCTTTGATAACTAATCACAAACTAATACATTGTTGACAGTCACCTGACACCTCTGCCGCCCGGAACAGTACAGTGAAGTCTTGCTTTTTTTCAACTTCGTTGAAGCGAGACAAAAATAGTCAATAGTTGAGTGGTTTTAGTTAGAGGTTATGATGAAGATACAGCCAGATATATATAAAATTGTTTGTTTGTCCACTTCACTTATGCTGTATGGGTTTTGCTCATTGTTGAGGGCCATACAGTGATCTATAGTTGCTAACTTCTACATAGATTGGTCTCTTTGTGCTAAGTTGTCTCATTAGAAATCATATCACATCTTCTTATTTTCAAATTATTTTAATTTTGGATGGTTCAATCACAGATTTTTGCAGTTAAGTTGAATGATACAATCTATGACATTGTTAAAATATTAATTAATACAACTCATTTCATGGCATTAACATGGCATTCAAAAGTTCTCACATCAATTAATTTGCATGATATATATAAAATGATTATTGTTGTTTTGATGAAAGTTGTTCCACACAAATTTTGTATGAGTCTTTTGATACATATGTATTTCGTATCAACTTCTTTTTGTTTATAAGAACAATGTTTGGATGTTCAATTTTCTCCTCATACAAAGCTTTTATTTTCTTTTTGGATTGCCACTTTTGAATTTCATACCAACTCCTTTTGGTTTAATAGAATGATTTTTGGAATATATAAAATCTAGGTTGCATCAAATCATGTCTGAAACTGCAACATTCCAACATCTACAAGTTTCTTTATTTCCTTTTTCTTCTCACTGTCAGCATCTGATAACATCCTAAAATTTAACAGAAAAGATATTTATAAGATCATTTCCTGATAAAAGATTACAGAAATGAATTATTTTTTTAATATAAAAAGATTTATAATAAGATATATATATATATATAAAACTAACTTGTGATCTTTTATACATAAAAGAAGGGGAGGAAGATACCAAAAGAGCACAAAAGTTAACAATGTCAGAGCATCCACTATATGTTATCATAATATTGAACTAGAGGCTCTTAAAAGACTGTGTCAATATGCAATCACCTAGGTCTATGTGCATCTTCAACAATGGACACTCTCCTACATTGTAGACTAGAAAAGAATTCATGACAAAAATCTATCTTTTATAATTTTCAAGATAATAGAAAAAAACTAAAAAAAATGGTAAAAATTGCCATAAAAGAGCATTAACTCCAATAAGGTCCTTAGGATTTAGCCCATGTTGACTTATTTGTAAATCTTGTCTTGCTGATCTTTTTTGCTATTTAAAGTGTCTATCTATCCATCATAGTTTTCAAGAAAAACAAAAACAAAATTGGTAAAAATTGTTATTAAAGAGAAAGAACTCAAATAATAAGTCAACTGACAATTTCGACCTCATTGACCTATTTGTAGAATTTGTCTTGCTGATCATTTTTATATACTATTTACAATGTATATCTAACTATTATAATTTTCAAAATAATAGGCAACAGTTGGTAGATCTCAACATTCTGAACATTTTACCACTGTCGATATCCTCTTTTTATAGTAGTTTTAAGATAGAAGACAAAACTTGCATTTTACCCCTATGTTCTATTTTTAGCCATGTCAGTCATGTTGGTTGGTGGGGGTTAAATAAATTTTTAAACTAGATACCAAATGATGATTTTCGTTAAATTTGGCCCATGATGGATGGCAGATGCCAAGTGATGAGAATAGCTCACTAAAGAGCCAAAATTATGAGCTAAAAAGGATGTAATTTTTGTAACTGTCAATTTGTATAATTCATTGATGATTGTCTAAATTTGGATGGCCAAATTTTTAAGTGTACAACAAAAACATTCCTCAGTTAGTTGTATTTAATTACAAATTTCACAATCATACCATTTTTCCAAAGTTATGATTTGATTAGCTGATAACTGTGATTCTGGCTCAGTGTTTGAAGAACGATTAAATTTCCTCCATCTACAACTCTGGCTTGAAGTTTTAATTTAACCCATATTTTCATAAGATTATCTGTCCATGAAAACTGGGCTATAGACTACAGTTTTTTTTTTTGTTCAACTTGTTCATTATTTGTTTACAGTGATGCTGATTAGAACCTGAAAGGGTACATGTAGTGACAACACAAGAATGAGAAATATGGCCACTCACTGCCTTATTCATAGAATACTTAAAACTCTTAGCATCTCAGTGCAATGTTTCAAAGGTTACATGAGATTTCACTTTTATATAAACAACAAAATTAGTAATATACATATTCGAAATGAATAAAGACTGAATTAAAAAACCAAAATGGCCAATCAAATAAATATATTTCACTTTACCTTTGTCCACTTCCTGGGTCAGTTCTTAAAACATGAAATAAATTTTGTATCCAAGGATCCATTAGAACTTCCATCACATCTGGTTGAGAGAGAATCTCTTGCATTTTGTTCTCATCTTCTGCTGTAGCCTGTTTAGGGTTGGTTGAACTTCTAACAGACATGTCAGCACCACCTTGTGACTGTCTTGTAAGGATTGTCCCCCTTTCTGAAGCAGATGGCGGGTTTGAAGGGACGTATTTATTACTGTCTGTGGGATCTATTTCCTCTATTATCTTTGGTGATGGTTTTGGTGGTGGTGTCTTCTCTTCTGTTTTATCATCTTTGTCAGCAATGTTTGTGAAATGATTTCCTGAAAAAAAATTAAAAAATCCAAGAATCAAAACTATGGTTTAAAGAAGGTTGTGGTTGTAGGAGTTTCAAATTCACTCCATTAAGTGTCGTGAATTAGATTGTTGTTCATTTTCATGTTATCTGATGTTATGTTTCAACAAAGAAGCTAACAATCATTCATGGTAAAAATTATGTGATAATCAGCTGTTTATATGCTAACATTTTTTTGAGTCTAATAATATAATTATTTCAAGATGAGTCGGGAGAGAAAAGTATTCAAACATACAAGGCAAATGGTTTTACATTATTGGATTACGGTAAGTTCCTAATAAATGACATTGGTTAAACGATATATTGTAAGGGAGTTTGTTTCTTAATTCTTTTGCATAACCCTTCAATTCTGAGTACCAAATTGTTCAATACAATACTATTCAAATATTTTGAGTTCTTTTTAATAAATATGAGAATCTTTCACAATCTTGGATCACAAAACCCAGCAAATGGTAAGTTTTTAATGAAATAAAAATCTTCATTTTTTTCTGTTTACAGTTTGTCTCTATCTTCTTTAGTTTTGTCCACAATACAAATAAACTGCTTCGCTGAGCGCAGCTGGATACGCCCGCAGAGGTCCAACCCTGAACAGTTGGGGCAAAAATGGACACAATATTCAAGCTTGATACAGGTTTGAATTTGGATTGTAATTAAATATTTGATATATTATAGGTTTCTGAATAAATGTAGTCAGAGAACTTGAAATTGGTTATATGAAAGATTTCTTGCTGTTGTGCAATACTTAGTAAATCTGTTGTCAGTCTATAAACAAATAAAATCTTATAACGTGGAAATGTAAAATCAAAAATTTATAAAAATCAAAAGGGAGCTTACAAAAATAGATATAAACAATTTACCAAAGTGTCATAAAAAAAGCTGAAAGCATTTTTGAATTATTGTCCGAAAAACTGGAAAATCCCCCTTTTCGTAATGAATAAAACCCCATAAATCGGAAACGTACAGTCTGAAATTTATAAAAATCAAAAGGGAGCTCATGTCGATAGAAATAAACAATTCACCAAAGTTTCTTGCAAATTGGTGAAATTGTTTTTGAGTTATTGTCTGAAAACTGGAAAATCCCCCCTTTTTTAATGAATAAAACCCCAAAACTCGGAAACGGTAAATCTAAAATTGATAAAAAATGAAAGGGAGCTCACGTCAATATATATAAACAATTCACCAAAGTTTCATGCAAATTGGTTAAAGCGTTTTTAAATTAATGTCCGACATGTTGACGACGGACGGACGGACTGACAGACGGTCAAAGGTATACCATAATACGTCCCCGTAAACGAACGTATAAAAAGAGTAAACATTGTCATTTAATGACAACACTCCTATAAGAGTCAACTCTCTATTTCTGCAAATTTCTATATTTGTAGATCTTGTCTTGCTGATTGCTTTTGCTATTCAAAGTTTCTCTCTACCTAAAATAAACCTCAATATACACATGTAATAGGCAAAAATGATGATAAATTAATAAAATAAGCCATTTAAGGGCAATAACTTGACAGTAAGTTTAATCCAAGTAACAGACATTACCCAAATTTGCTCAATTAACTGAAAGAGAGATTTAAACTGAGCATTAAACAATGCCTTTGTGTTAGCAGGATCATTGAAGCTTATAAATGTGTGTAGTCAAAACCTAATTTTTAAGGCTTACAAGATGGACAGAATTGGACTTAATTTGCCTCTTTGCACTCTACGAAACTAAGCAATTTGAAATACTATGTCATTTTGCATCGTGCTACTTGTTGCAAATTTTATGCAATCCAATGTCTTACCCATAAATCCACAAAACTGCATAAATGCATCTTGTGTTTCTTTATCATTTTTGTATCTATCCATGGCAGCAGTTGGGTTTGTCTGAAACATATTCACTGCCTCCATAAACCTAGGATCTTGTAGTTTCTTTAGAAGTGATTCATTTTTTTCTACCTTACTTAGTAAATCATCTGTCATCCATTCATCTGTTAAAAGACAATAGTGTAATGTGAATATTTATACATTTTTAGTATACAGTATGAAATGCTAAAAACAATTGAACAAATTTTATTCATGTATTCAATGGCATTAAATTTTGTCAGATTCTTTACAGGGTTGTACATGTTCTTTCAAAAGAGGTTAAAAAATGGACAAATGCATGGTCTGAACCCTTTAAATGTTGTGTTATTTTACAGAAACTCCAATAGACCTTATCGCTATTTGTGATTCTGTGACACTTGCCCTATTGAGGAGATTTTATGACATTTGACCCTTTTGTATCATACAAAAATCACTTTTGCACTTTGGTGTCAGTTATTTCTCTTGTGGTGTCAACATGTCTGTGATATCTTGTAAATTAAATGGTAAACAAATAGCAATAAGGTATATAGATGTCCAATGGATCTTTCAAAATATTCAAGTTAATATTTTAATTGAACAATGAATGAAATAGTGTACATATTTTATATAACAACTCAGAAATACGAAAACAGAGCACTATTAAAAATCAAATTAAAAAGACCATGATAGTAAACTAAAAACAAAATATTTTGAAACCACAAAATTTTTGTTACGAAAAATACAGTTTCGTATATATATATATGCTTATTGAGTAACCCTGAATGCATGTTAATTAGAGCATGTCCAAAAACTAACCTTTCTTGCTTGTTATGGTATCACTCATAGCTTGCTGTACTTCATCAAGTTTCAGTGATTCCTCCTTTTTCTTTACATATGGTACAGATGCTTCTTTTGTTTTTTCTTGAAATGATTTGGGTTTTGATGATCCTCCACCAAACATAAATCCTTTTTTCATGCCTCCAAATCCAGAGGATGATTCAGATACTGTTGCTGATGGTTTTGTGTTTGATTTTGGTACTGTGTTTTCAGGCTTTGATTGAATTTGTGCTGGTTTATTGACAGGTGCCATGTATTTGTCTGATACTGTACAGTGTCCATTTGAAATAATGTTCTAAAATATAAAAATTCTTTATTTATTTATGCTATTATACTAATATTTCTGATGTGGATCTACATTACACTACTAACAATTATCACCAACATACATTTTGTACAATATTAAATTAACAACAGACTACAAGAAGCCTGTATTGGTCAGTTATATGCATATACATTGTACTGACTATATAAAATAATAATCTTGAAAGGGAGATAACTAAATGATCAGAGTTATCAGATAAAGTCTCTAAAAAGAGTTATCTCAAAAAGTTCCAGCAAGGTAAAGATAAGGTATTTTTAAAATTGTATGGTTAATAGTAGCAGTTGCAATTTTTAGGGAATGCAATAAGGAACCTTTAATGCCAAGTTTTCATCAAATCTCAATTGTAAATTCAAACACTAAATCTTAAAGTTTTTTACTAATCTTTCCTTAAAAAAATGTCAACAACATTGTTACAGACAACACTCACTGGTTAACAGGAAAGGTTAACTGTTATTATACATAATATTGAAAGGGGTATCAACAGACAGTTTTGTCTTGTTTTTTATCAACTACTATGAAGGCATTGAAGTGAAAAGTTTCTAAGTCCTATTTCAACCGGTTTGTTTGAACAATTGCCAAGTTACTTTGTTGGCAAAACAATGTTTCATTTAAGATCAGAAATAATGATCAAAGGAATAACATATCACTACGAAAAGTATGCTCTTCCAAGTGGTTAAAGAATGTGTTAAAAATTTGACATCAGTAACTTCAATATTACTACATGCATTATTATAAATAAATCTATTAATCAATCTTCATTGTTGCAAGGAGTCAACCAACATTGATTTCAATTTTAAAATATGTGATTCAAAAGATATTTCATGCAAAGCTTACTCCAAATTAAGCTATTAATTTAATTGAAAAATATTTTGAATGCATTTTCCAAGAAAATTGTAGAGCAAATTTTACAACAAAGAAATCACTCACATTTCCACCAGATAAAATAAATTTCTAAGCAAAACAGAATGCATGTAGTTTATACACATCCCCATGTTAATATGTTTGTGTAAAATTTCCTTACCTTTTCTGTTTTTCCTTTGTTCTGTGAAGATGTCTTTGTTCTTTGTTCTTTTATTATCTGAACTTTCTGTAACAAATCAGACATGTCCTCCAAGGGAGGGACATCTGTACAAAAAAAATAATCCTATTTAAACAACGATTAAATTTTTTTTTAAAGATACATGTATTCAAACTCGGTCATTATTCTACCAGATATAGCCTTTTTCGCTAAGGTGGTTTAAAGAAAATATCAATCAATCCATCAATCAATTTAAAAACATTAATGCAATAATTATTTCATACATTGGATTGGGTCAAACTTATGAGACTACATTGTAGCTGTCAGTTCAAGTGGCAATAAAGTTTGAATCTTGATAATACAACAATTAATCACACCTGTTAACTGTCACTTATGCATGCTTTTTTCTATACATTACATTTCTTTCGTTCAATAATGTTTTAACTCTCTAAGTTCTTATTTGATGCTAAATATGTCTATTGTGGTTTCTAGACACTTCTTGTCACTAATTAGTGATACCGCAGGGATTTTTAGCAAAAAATACGAAACAAAATAAATATACATGTACATAATAATTTAAGTTGTGATTGCATATGCATATAATATAAACAGAAAGCACATGGATCTGTTACTTATATTTTATCTCCTTGTTAATATAAAAATAAGCAAATGGAAGCTATCAAGTAAATTTTAGAAGTTTTTGATTGAGTATACAAAACATAAAAAAAAAGAGATAGAATATTAGTAACCATGGTAAACAGATCAAAATGCTTTCTGTTTATACTTTATGTAAACGGTATAAGCTCTATAAGATCTAACCAGAAATAAATAACAATCCATATTTCATTCTATGGTTTATTCCAACAGGATAAAGGATATACATCAAAATAGAGACATAAAAAAGAGAGTCTGGAGACACTATCGGTATATTAAAATCTAAATGTAAATGTCAAGGACAAACTGACTTCATGCCAAAAAAAGATAAAATGATGAAATGACAAACAGTGTACAAAACACAACATAGAAAACTTAATGACTGAGAAACAAGAACCTCAGGGGCTCTGGACGGGTAAGCAGATCCTGCCCCACATGTGACACATGTAGTTATCCAGAACAAAAATAAAACTAGTCTCCATATACATGTAGTAATTAACTTTATCAATTATTGCCATATTGAAATTTCAAAAAATTCCACAAAGTTATCCATGTCTAAAAAACTTCAACCACATACTGAACCTAAATGTTGACCCTGCAGAAGACAACAGAATGTAGGATCACTATGTCTCGCTTCCATGACATAAATGGTGCAGGCTCAACAAAAAGTTTTAGTCTTAATTTCATTTAGGTTGTAAATGTGGTTATATCAATTAATATCATAGTTTATGTTCATCCTCCCCTATCACAACAAATATCTATATAATATCATGTAAGTTTTGTCATTCAAAAAGTTTTTTTTATCTTTAATTTCATTTTTCATAGACATACTTGTAAAATATTTGGATGTTAAATTGTTTTTATTTTACATGTGTTCATCAATATGTTTATTTCTTTTGTAAATTCTCTTTACTATTAATGATTTATAGTGTTAACTGACCCAGATATCAAAAAGAGTTAAAAAAAAATATAGAAGTTTTCTGTACTAAAAGATCCAGTTAGAAATTTTATTAAACCTTACAAATTTCACATTTTCAGATATATCCCGACATAAACATACAATTTGAATTTCTGCTGATACCATATACATGTATGCTGTCGTAGGCAGGTAATTAAAAAAACCACCCCTGCAATATAGCCCACATTAAAGCAGAGTCCAAGTTAAAGTAGCATGCAATTCTGCTTTTATCAAGTTTCATTTTTTAATTTAGATGATTTCATTCCTACAATGTAATACTGTTTGAAAGTTTAATTCATTATATCTCTTCATTTAAATTCATGTAAATACAGTACGCACAGAGAGTTTGTAATCGCGAACTCTAATCACGGATTTCGGAGTGTAGCGGTGTCACACCGCGAATCACGGATTATACTCCCAATTTCCTCCAAAGATTCTCTCCCAACACCGCGTGGCTGTTAATTGGTTTATTGCCCATCGGATATACTGAAAATAATGACGCGTGACAACATAATCGGATTAGCCAGATTTTATTACCTTTGTACATTTAATCGATCTTGATTGCACCTGTGTTCTTTAAAACACGGTATTAAAATTTCCTTTCTTTGACAGATCAAAATGTGACATTTTCATTCAAAATAAGATAATTATTCTTGTATGTATTTGCCCCATGTCACTGTCATTTGAAATAAAACGTACAAACGTATAAAAATACGAATAAAACACTTATTTTGTATTTTTATTATAGTCCGGTCAGGTCATAATTTTTGTTTTTTTCAACAAAGACGATTTTACTACAATTAGAATCTTTTATGACCTACTCAGTGAGCAATATCCGGTTCATTAATTGTTCAATATATAAATATCAACTGGCTTAACACAAAATGATGTTTTTACGGTAATTTGTCCAATCTAAACCCAAGAGTTAATTTATCGGATCAACAAGTGAACTCTGTTACTTTCAATTTATTTTGCAATGTAAAATATTATGTTTCACTACCTCGGTAGATTACCGACTTGAAATATTTGAACTCAGAAAAGAAACTGTAAAGTGACAACTCTGTTGAACGAAGGGAAAACGTTTTGTATGCAATGTGCCCTATATTCATAAAAACACAACACTGAGAGACATTCCCCGCCCAGACACAACACAATAATCACAACCTAATTTAATTATATGAAGAAAAAAAATCATGTGTTGTTTATCTCTGTTATGATCTGTTATTGATCCTTTATTATTTAAAATAAAATTGGATGGGCGCAATCCGTCTTTTACTGCTCGTTAAAAGTCCTTGGCGAAATTTAAAATAGAAGTATTTCAACAATTAATACTATAGAATATTTAAATGAAATTATATCGTGTTCTACAAGAAAGAAATATGTGAAAAAAATGTGGATCGGATTTTTACGATCTACACATTTTCACAGAGGATCTCTACCAACGCCCAACAGGAACTGAACGACATTCATTCTGTTTTCATCTACCATTTATGTATATTGTTGACCATGGACGTATAAATAATGTCCAGGTTTATGTCCTGTGTTGACTGAGAAACTTAAAATTAAAAGGCTGGTGTTCGTTTATTCAGAAAAGAATTATATTTTAGATTCCGGTTAATCAATTGTAAAAGGACCTTCTAGAGCCTCAATCTTAAGGCATACAAATGTCAATCATTCCAAAGCAAATTTAAACCCCGAATGAATTTTCCCACGGTCATCCAGAAAGGTCACCTGAGTTTACTGTTACGTGATAATATTTCCCGCCAAATAAAAATCTCGTGGACAAAATTGATGTCACTATTTTTAGCGTTCAATATTGTGAGCGAAGTCAAGTACAAAGTTCAACCACGGACTGTTGATCACTGAGATGTGTATCGTCTTCCCACGGCAATTAATTTCTTTTAAAAAAATAAAAAATCAGTCCTTTATACAACACACAAGTTTACATTCATTGTGCGTAAATGAACATTATGCAACGATGAGTTGATGCAGCTATAGAAGTATTCCTGTTGTAGCCGAAATGTAATTATTTATCCTAAAGTAATGCCAACAAATCGTAAAGAGAAAATGCCGTAGACTTATTAAGAATAACGAATGGTGAATAGTATTTTCTTTTTTTACTTGCATATACAAATTTTGAGACACGTAATTTTCTTTAAACTGCTAACTTTTATATTCAGCGTTAGTTTCCGTTTATTTTTACGCAAGTATGTCTCTTTTCGTAAATAAAATAATTTACCGATGAACTTAAACAAGGTCAAAATCAAGTATAGTTTTTGTTATAAAACTTTAATGCAATTGAAAGAATTAACAACAACATTCTGCTTTTAAATCTTTAATTTGTTTCAAGTAATTTTGTAATCGTAAAATGAAAATGGCGTGGACTTATTAGCATAACGAATAGTGAATAATATATTCTTTTTTACTTGTATACAAAACTTTGAGACAAGTAATTTTCCTTTAAACTGCCCACATTTATTCAGCGCAAGTCTCCGTTTATTTTTACACAAGTATATCTCTTTTGTAAATTAAATATTAATTTACTGACCAGAAAAAAAAACGAGGTAAGAATCAAATATAGTTTTTTTTTAATAAAACTATTTTTAAATGTACAGTGTAATTGAAAGAATTAACAACAACGTTTTGCTTTTAAATCTTTTATTTGTTTCAAGCAATCAGAAATATAACCTGATTATCAATAGACAGGAAATACAAATGTTTAATTACATAAGTAATCTCACATACCTTGACTGTCGCGTGCCGGTATAGATCAGAAGGATTAGGGCAATTAATTACCTGGTGTGACACCGCGTCACACTGGACTGGGAGAGATGTCGCTAATACAATAAACAAAAGGTAGCGAATTTACGCGGAAGTCGGAGGGAATACTCCCAAATTTCTCCGAGAATTTAGGGAGGGATGTCGGAGTTTCCTGGTGTCACACCAAGAAAAAACTTGGTGTTCGGAGTTTGGGAAGCCTTTCGCGAAATTTGTACTGTATGTGTCTACTGGTCGAGGACCATTTACTGTTAGTTACCAGTTACCGTCACCTTGCATTTTTTGAAATAACGGAAACATTGTGTAAATACGGCATACTGGGTAATTGCTATTATCTTCATAAAAATACTTTTATTCTATTTTTAAAAACTTGGTTTTGTTTGATCCAATAAATCAACTCAGAAATCTTGATTTTTTTTTTGTTCTTTTATCACGTGAAGGGAAGATAAGCATGCAGGAACATGACATCGTCACTTTAAGATGCCCTTGGTTGAAGAAAAATTACTGTTTTCAAATAAAGTGATATCTACATGTAAGCTTACTTTGGACATAAAATTTACTTCAAAGGAATAAAAAAAGGTTTATTTTAGAACAATTTCCATGATCCCCATCAGTGCAGTGTAACTTGTTGATTTCAGGTGACATAAATTCAAGATCTATTCAGATTGAGATTCTGAATTTATTGACTGAATGACAATATTGTTGGTTCATCTGATAAACTTCCATCTCTGTTTGCCTCAAAACAGCAAAATCTGACAATATTTTTTTTTTAATCATGTTAATAGGACCTTTCTATAATTTAGGGACTAGATTCATAGATTAATAAGTGACGGTAACTGGTCCTTGTTTCAATAAAATTTCATGCAAAAATCGGAACACTAGCAATTCACTTTTCGCTGTATTAAAGTATGTCGGCATATATCTGAAATTTGGAAATATTGTAATGTCTAATAAATTTTCTAACAGGATATTTTGGTACAGAAAATTTCTATTTATATTTTTTTACTCTGTCGATGTCTGGGTCAGTAAACAAATGAAATAAGAATTTCTGGCGTCATTAGATACGCACCTGTTTCGTCGGCCATATTTTTGGGTTGTTGTTCGTATCAATATTGATGAAGTACAGATGATAAATTATGCCCTAAATTTCCGATGATAGTGCTTCGAATACAAAATATTCACTTCCACAAATAAATCAGTTGATTCTTTGTTTAGTAATTTATTAGAATTAATGAAATATTTTGTCATAAGTGATTATGAAACTTATATTACTGAACGCTTTTTCATCTCAATTGTATACGGAACCAATGCATATTTTTAATGATCGAAAAGGACATATTTAATTTGGAAATTTAGAAGATCACAGGAATGTTTGGGTAAACGAAGAAATGCGTATTATATTTAAGTTGAAAGCAAACGTTGACCAAAGAGAAACATTAGCACGTGTGGAAATTGTCTTTGGCAAATTTACAGAATTGAACGATTATTTGACCACTAACAAAATTTATAGATATGGAAGATAATTCAGAGAAAGGTAAAGGAACAAATTGCGCTACCAATATTAATTTTTTCCGAAGGAAGTGGTCCTTTAAGAAGCTATAAAGTTGATAAATTAAATCAAATCAAATTTATTTAAACTCGCTAAAATTAAGAAATAATTCATGGCAGCTGTAGATTTGTTTTCATTTAACCATCGGTTGGGCATTTATATTTGATTATTTCATCCCGAGCGAACATAAATGCCCAACCCATGGCTAAATGAAAACAAATCTACAGCTACCATGAATTATTTCGTTTCTAAAAGGAAAAATATGGTAATTTTGTCAAACATGAAAGCCGTTACACACGATACTGTTTTGTTCCTTTTACAACCCATATAATAATTTCAATAATAATATGTTATTCATAAAAAAAACTTTTTATCTAATTATATTACATTCTGAGGCATACAAGAAACCTGAAAAGGCCTGGTGTGTACATTTCAAGACAGAAGCATATATATGACGTTGCCTTTTTAATAGCCAAAGACTAACATCATTTTGCAGGATTTTCGTTTTACGAAATTTTACACCGAAATAATAACTTAAATGGACTGATTTGTTTATTCTGCATTTGAATAGAGATACCTTGGCCTACATATAACGTGGGTTTTACTGTCGCAAATTGATTTTACCTGGTGGTATAAATAAGATGGGCGTTACAGGAACAGCAAATTTTGTGTAAAAATGCGATTGCGCTGAAAGTCGATATACTGTGAATATACTGGTTGATGATACTGGTTGATGATATATATAGATCGTCATATTAGAACAGCATACTAGAACAGCATATTAGAACAGCATACAATACAGTAAGACATAAGCTCTTTTTAGCTTTTAAAACCGACGTATATATGACATTATGATAATTTTCATGTTCTGTAATCTGCAGTTTGAACTAGTATAGCTCAACCTGGCTAAATAACTCACACAAACAGGCGATACAAAATCATTTCCCTTTAAAACTTTCATTGAAATTTCTGTTTCTCACAAAAATTATGATGTCCTCTTTCATGTGAATGATCATGATGATAAGTCAATTCATCCCAGAGTTGGTCAATTCGTTCAATGTCGGTAGTAAATTCTTTCCAACAGATTTTGTTCATGAATACTAATAATAATAATATAAGATCTAGGAACTAATTATAACCAATTGCAGGGGCTGCTCTGGCTCCCTTAAAGTTGGAGCCAGAAATATCTCCAGCTGCTATATTTTGTCACCAGTTTGGAAAACTTGGAGCCAACTTTAGAGACAGCTAGAGTCTTGTTTTCCTCTACTAAATCATGTGCAATTTGAATTTCTTGTACACTCAGTGTTCTCTACAGGCCCTTAAAGCACCACAGACCCTTGGTCCTATAATTTCCAAGCATGGTCCTAACAGTCCTCCTGCGGTCCTTTATTTCTGTTCAGTGGTGCTATAATTTTCGGTAAAATTGTGACTTGTTAAATCTTATTTTTGTGGTATAAAATTACAGGTGAAATTTAACCAGCATGTTGATAGTTACAACAGGTGATTGATTTGCCTGATGAGGGTTACCTGTTGCTGATTGGATTTAACCAGTCAATTAGCACTTGTAACTTGTTTCTTTTGTGTTTTAATTGATATGGAGATAATATATTACTTCTAACAACAATTATATGGCTTCACTCACCACCCAAGCATAGACCAGTGATGTAATCGGAAATTTTAATTTGAACATTTACATGTACAATGCCTTTAGTTGTACACATCCTGAAAAATTGTTTACACTTGATAAAAGATTAACTGTTGGTCCATTAAATAATAATAATTGATAATTATGCATATTTTTATTATGTATGAAGCAATTTGTCCATGCTAGCACTATATATCCTGTCTCTTTTAAATAAACTTCCTTCTCTTTTACAACAAAAAAACTTTCATTTTTGACTGCCGGTTTACTTCCCATTTGGCAGTGGATTTTCTATAGGTAGTCACAGTCTGGGTACTTTTGAAAAGGTTCTGTCATTTCACCTAAAGGTATGATGAGTATTTTTTAAACAGCAAACACCGTTTTCATAATAAATCCATAAAGAGTTACTTCCCCTATTTTTTTTTCTATTTGAAATTCTCATGTTAAAAATATGTTTACTCACTGAAATATTGAATAAATTGATAAGTAAACAAATGATTGCTAACTATTAAAATGAAATGTAATTTCATAAAAATTAAAATTCTATATACATACAGAAAAAATACATTGTAAATTAAATAAATCAGAGGTAATATCTCCAATACTCCCAATAAAATCAAACCAGTATTATATAGACATTGTACCATCTATGCTAGGCTTATCAGGCAGTCAATGTCATGAAAAACCACCCTCATACTACAAAAACATGTAGTAATAATAATTGATAATGTGCTTCATGCCTATGAGTGAATGAAGAATATATAATTTCTTTCACTGCAATAATGTCAACAAAACAAGGTACGAAAGAAAAGAAAAACTCAAATGGATAAAAGGTAATAAAAATAGAAAGAGCCCTATGGGAACTAACCTTAAAGAGGATAGAGGAAAAGAATTGCGACATGGTACAAATTATGTTCGATGCATATATCTAATTTGTCGCCTTGATTTCCCTGGTGCTATCTAAAAATCCTGGGGAGAACATTGACACTACTTCATTTAACTTAAAGTGATGATTTGTCATGAAATGTATTGCCCTGTTATTTTATGTTTTTTCTTCCTTTCTGTTAAAGAACGAAACAAACAGGTTCCCTGACACTAGGATTTTGAGGGCTTAAGTCACTTTTGCATGATAAGAAAACCAACCTTTTTAGGGTAGCAGCTTAACATAATATTAATAGACTAAGTTAGTTATTGCATAGGGTTAAATACATGAACATGAAAAAAACATGTGTACTTTTATTTTCTTTGTCAGTATTTCATCAGCATGAAAATTAAGATTAAAACAAAACAGCTGTTTTTCTTCAAAAGATACACACTGTATGTTTTTAATTGATTGTGTATGTCTCCAATTAGAGACTAATGGGACTTATATAGTGACACAATTGATCAATGTTCCTGTCCTTATAATTAGCTTATGGTCTGTATATGCTACAGAATAGAGAAAATATTTTAAAGTTGAAAATAAAGAATGAAAAAAATGGGCAAAAAACTGAAGAAAAGGGAATAATGAGTGTTAAAATATACATAATAGAGAAAATTTGTATAAAAGATAAAGAATACAGAAAATGACCCAGGCACCCTACCATCCTGCTACCAAGACCCTAGTTACTTTGCCCATAACTCAAAAGACCTCTTAAACATATAATCCTAAAGTCAGAAGTTTGTAGACAGATCTGAAGTATTCAATACTTATCATGGTTTTTGTTTTTCTGTCAATTACGTTTTCATCATGAAACTTCGGTAAAAGTTGCAAATTGTGTTGCTGTATGAAAATTTCTTCAATACGAAATGACAACTGCCTACTGACCGATTCTATTTGAATGAATTAATGTTGATGACCCATTAATGACCCATCAGATAAGCGGATTACCTGTAACAACAGATAAGGACACCTGTTGTGACCGTTGATTAGCTTTGGGGGGGTCATAAACTTGTCGCCAGGTAAAACTTCTTACAATTTATTTTTTTACTTTTACCGATCGGTAATGATCAAAAAATGAAAATTTTGACATGGGAAAATGTTGGCTCTAGAAATATCGCCAGCAGCAGTATTTTGTCGCCTGATGAAAATAAAAAAATCACAGTTTGTGACATTAGCAAAGCCCAGCGTGGTCCCTGCAATGGGTACCGTATAAAGTTCAATTCATTCAATAAACACATCAATTTGTCTCTACTTTTTAAATTGTTTAAGATGCAGTTAGTCTGGTACTTTCACGCTGGTGTTATGTACACTTCTGACATACAAAGCAGATGATAGTACTAAAATGTACTGGTGTGTACAACTTCTGTGTAGACTTATTACTAATGAAACAAGAAAAACACATATGTTGTAATTTAATTTCTTTTGTTATCTTTAATTTCTTTCTTTGAAGTACCTTTTTTGGTTTTTTATGAGGAAATTGAGAAAAAAAATTATTTTTTGATGAACACATAAATGACTTGTATGCGCATAGTATTAAAATACAAAAAGCAATTATATAAAATAAAGATTTTTTTTATAAATAAAAGTCTTTGTTATTAAATGAAAATGAAGGAGTGTGCAAATAAACTATAGAAACGGATTCAAAAGCTAATTTATTATTTGACATAGGATAGCAGCATACAAAATTAATGTAATAAGCTTATTTTTAAAGTTTTCTTTGATTAGCACTGTTTTCCTCATCTCCATGGCCGGAATGGTGCCCCAGTATAATAGCAAGTAAACTATCCACTATATACTACCAGATATTTTATTTAGAATTAACAGTGTACACAGTTTGACAATAACCAGACAGCTTAGAAGTTAGAACTTTGAATGTCGCTGTCATGTAGTAGTGTATTAGCCACTATGAATCTCATAAAAGAAATGAGAGTGATGCAAAAATTCTGTTTGATAGTACATGTATGTACAGTTATCAGTATTTATGTAGTAAGATTTATATACTATAGGTGCCAGTTTCCCTGGCATAGTAAGTATTTGGACCATTTGGTTTTATCTGAACATACATTAGCATATGATTTGCTTAAAGCAATTTGAAAAGAAATCCTTGGGTTATTGGTATTGTTTCATGTCTTCACAAGCTTGGGTTCTCCTTTTGGGCCCAGGATTCAAATTTAACTATTGAATTTTTTTTAAAAGTAACTCCAGTGCATTATCAAAAAAAACCTACAAGACCAGAATTGAAAAAAATATTGAAAAAATAGATATTTTTCAAGCAAGAGTCCCTTCATGTATGTATTTGTTTATTCTGTCAACATAGATGGTTTCAAAAGGAAGTTTTTTTCTTTTATAGCTAAAATGAGACTTAGCCCTTTTAACTTACCTTATATCGAAAGAGGAAGATATAACAAAACTGCTAGAAATAAAAGAATTTGTAAAATATCTAGGCTAAATAGAATTAAAGATTAAAACCACTTTATGTGGCATTGTCTAAATTATAAAAGGGAAAGGGAAACCCTTAAGACAAAAGTATCAAAAGTCCATTTAATTTAAATTTTAAAACTTTTAATAATGTTAGTGTTTAATAAATAATGTAAGTGTTTAATCAGAATTATTACCAGTATATTCAACAGTTGGTCTTTACAAATACTAATCATGTTTTTTTCTAATTTTCATGCTTTTTATATGACCGCAAACAATTTTTTGGGATCGTATAATGGTATGATGTCATCGTCCGAAGACACATTGGTTTCTGGATCATAACTTTAGTATAAGTAAATAGAAATCAATAAAATTTTAACACACGGTTTATAACCACTAAAGGAAGGTTGGGATTGATTTTGGGGGTTATGGTCCCAACTGTTTAGGAATTAGGGGCCAAAAAAGGGGCCCAAATAAGCATTTTTGTAGTTTCCAGACAATAACTTGTGTTAAAGTGTATGAATCTCTCTGAAATTATACCACAAGTTTCCATACAACAAAGGGATGGTTAGAATTGACTATGGGGGGTTATGGCTCAAACCATTTAGGAATTAGAGGCAAAAAAGGGGGAAAACAAGTTTTTTTTCTGGTTAAAGGACAATTAAGACAATTTAAAGCAGTCTAAGGGAAGTAATCCAATCCCAGTTTAAAACAACAATGTTTGATTACCTCCCTTACACTGCTTGTAAATTATGTATTAAGAAATGATGATTGTCTTGAGGTGATAAGCTGTCAATTTATTTTTAAAAGTTACTATTAATTAATATTAATTTTAGCCATGACTATGTATGTCATTTTATATTTTAAGATTTGTATGATGTATTTTTAAAAAGGGTAATTATGGTTGCAAATTTTATTAAAATTTGAATAGAGATTATGACTATTTTTTATTGGTATGACGTTTGCGTCGTCGTTGTCTTCCGGCGTCGTCGTTGTCGTCCGAAGACACATTGGTTTTCACACTCTAACTTTAGTTTAAATGAATGGATCTCTATGACATTTTACCATAAGGTTCAATACCACAAAAGGAAGGTTGGGATTGATTTTGGGGGTTATGGTACCAACAGTAAAGGAATTAGGCATTTTTGTAACTTCCAGACATAACTTGTGTGTTAGTGTATGGATCTCTCTGACATTGTACCACAAGGTTCCATATCACAAAGGGAGTGCTGGGATTGATTTTGGTAGTAATTTCCTCAAAATTTTAGGAATTAGGGGCCAAAAAAGGGGCAAAAAACAAGCATTTTTCTAGTTTCATGACAATAACTTGTTTGTAAGTGTATGGATCTTTATGAAATTGTACTACAAGGTTCCATATCTCAAAGGGAAAGCTGGAATTGAGTTTGGGGGTAAATTTTAGGAATTAGGGGCCAAAAAGGGGCAAAAAACAAGCATTTTTCTAGTTTCAGGACAATAACTTGTGTGTAAGTGTATGGGTCTTTATTAAATTGTACTACAAGGTTCCATATCTCAAAGGGAAAGCTGGGTTTGAGTTTGGGGGTAATTTCCCTAAACGTTTAGGAATTTGGGGCCAGACAATAACTTGTGTTCAAGTATATGGATCTCTCTGAAATTGTACTGCAAGGTACCATACCACAAAGAGAAGGCTGTTATTGAGTTTTGGGGTGATGAATCATAAGGGGGTTCAAAAAATTGGGGGGGGGGGTTCCTTTATTTTCCTTTTTTTTTCTTTAAAATTTTCCATTTTAAATTGGTTATTTCTGATTTATATATGAAAGCAAATAATAATAAAATGGTTTGAATAGGTAAATTAAAATTTTCTTAGACCACATTCATTCTGTGTCAGAAACCTATGCTGTGTCAAATATTTAATCACAATCCAATTTCAGTGCTGTATCAAGCTTGAATGTTGTGTCCATACTTGCCCCAACTGTTCAGGTTTCGACCTCTGCGGTCGTATCAAGAGGCGCCCCAGCGGAGCATTTTATTCACATTTCTCTCCGTGTGAGAAAATATTTTTCATCTCTCGAGAAAACTTCGTTCTCTGCAAATGATTTGTCGAAATTTAATTATGGCGTCAAATTTTCCTGGTTTCTTCTGAATTTCCTATTGTGACGTCATGAAAAAAGACGACCATGCCTGATGATGTTACAAATAAAGAACACAAATTTCTGCAAATCTTTTCAAAGGAAGGATAAACTTTGTTTAGATATCGTCTAAAATATTTAGAACAGATTCCACCACTATAACTCGTAAATTGCAATATTTCTCCACTCTCAACAGTTAAATTTTAAGTATTTAAAAAGCTCGGCAAAGTTTTAGGTTTTTTCCGCTGTCAAAGGGGAAGTATGGGTAACTTGGTAAGATCATGATTTAAACAGTAAAATATTACATTTTATTATGTTGCATTTATAAATTGTTTTTCTTTTGTAGGTTTAAAAAAGTTAAAGAAACTAAAAAATTCGGGGAAGAAACAAAAGTTACTCAAGGTGCAACAAAACAGATTTGGTCAAGCAGCAGAAAAATCAGGTTCACTATTCTTGTCTTACTGAATTTTATTGATTTATTCTGACTTATTTAACCACCAAATGCATGAACAAATTTTGATTTAAAGAGATTTTTAGTTAAGCAGCATTACCCTCTGACCGTTACATTTTAAAATGAATGTTGTGTTGTTTGCAGTATTTACTCTTTACTTTGTGCAAAGAATTTCAGAATACATTGTGAAACTGCATTTTCTGTCTTCAGATCTGTCATTATGATGTTATACTTTTATTCGTTTGATTTAAGGGGATTCAAGTAGTCCAAGTTGGTAACTATTCTTAAACTGTTTGGAAAACTTTCCTAAAGCTTTCCATTGTCTAACGAGGGACACATATGTCCCTGCGCAGTCAAGAGTTAAAGTAAATGAGTCAAAATAAGATTAATCAAAATTATACTCAGCTAGTTCAGCATAATCAAAGTACTATCTAACAAATATAATTTTGGGGTTAACATGTACATAGATGTAAGAACCATTGTCCGGGAGTGTATTCTCACTGACTATTATTTATTTCTGAATACTTCAACCTTAAAATCTCTTTTCTGGCATTGAATGCTGTTTTAAAAAGATTCAGATTAGGTGATGGCAGTGATTTTCAGCACTTGCAGGGGTTGTCTTTACAGTAAATACACAAAGTCACACCTAATAACAGTCTTCATCTGTTTTGGGGAGACCACAAAGTTTTTCTATAAGTTAGTGGGACTGAACTGACCTAGTGTCTACCTCTTTAGTTACCATAAAGGACTGTTTATATTTTAGCCAGACAGTGAATACTTGTTTTCATGTTGACTAGCTTGCCGAAAAAATGTGTGTCCAACTCGGACCTGGTAATTTTTACAAAAGTTAAAGGTGAATCTAATGATTTCCAGAAATTGTTATTGGAGATAACAGCAACGGAAGGAGCTAAAATATATTAAACAATTAGAGGTCTTGTAATTATCAACCTCCAACTCTTACATACTGTGGATTCATTATTATTCGTTGGATACCAGTTTTCGTGGATTTCATGGGTGCAGGTGAACCACGAAATTAAATGTTCAAAAATAACAAATTTTCTATAGGCTTGTATGCAGACTTTGGCAAAACCACGAAATTAAATATCCACGATAATGCAAGTTTTCCTCAATCCACGAAAATTGGTACCCACGAAAATAAATGAATCCACAGTATAAGGAATGTCTTGATATTTGTATTATTTAATTGTAATGAAATTATCTAAGATTGTGATTAATTGAGTTAGAATTAGTTGATTATTCATATGTTATAGAAATGTAATTCACTGGTATATGTATGCATTTTAGATATATATAAAGTTGAAACAAATAAAGACCTAAAGAAAAGAAAAAAGAAAAAAAGTTAGTATATGAATCAATTATCTATTAGTATGTCCAAAGAAATAATATACTATACGATATGTGAAGATTATTCTATTTGTCCTTTTCAACAGAAATGTTGTTACTACAACATGAAGTGAAAAGACAGTAATTGGTTACATTTACATGAATCTGCTGTCATAGTACAATATTCATAAATCTCTCATGCTCTAACCCAAAGGATACAAAAATCTGCATCCTTAGGAGTCACGATGATAAATAGTAGCTATTTTAACTTTTAATTTGAATCCGTTAATTGATACAATTTAAATACCATCTTTTACCAGAATTGGAAAATAAGTTATCTGTGCTAAGTGCACAACTCATAGTTTAATAATAATAGTTAATTATAAAGTTAAATTACGAGGCGGCAAAAGAAGTTTTCGACTTAAAGATTGCTGCAGTAATCTAGGTTGGTAGATTGGTAGAAGAAATTCTCTATAGTCAAATTTCACTCAATTTTATATATATTTATATTTTTATATTTTATATTTATTCAAACACGTATAATGGATGAATTTCAGAGAAACAGCAAACAGTCCCTGAAAAAGTTGATAAAGTAGTTGAAGAAGAAGATGATGATGAAGATTTAGAGAGTCAGTCTGACAGTGAAGATACAGGCCTTCCATTAAATACAGGGGATGCTGAAGAAGACCAATCAGATGAAAATATGGATGATGGGGATGATGCAAACAATGAGGAAGATGGTGATGAAAAAGAAGACAATGAGGAGGGATCTGAAAGTAAGATATTATTATAACCAACTTTTTGGGGTCATGGTGAGTTGGAAAGTTGTTGTTTGTATGTATGTATGTTGGTCAATTTGTTTGAACTTATTTATTCTAAGAAGGGTTTTGTCAGAAGATGGTTAAGTACTTTTAGCTGGCTTTATACATCTATGCTTTTAAGTCATTGCAAGCATTCTTTATTACAGTGTAATTTGTAGCTTATTTTGTGTTTTTGTTATGATTTATATTGTTACAGTAGAGTTAAGTGCTTTTCCTGTACTGGTTTTTATAGTACGTTTTGTTACTGTATCGATTGATATTTAAAAGGGGAGGTAGTTAACCAGTGCCAAATTTTCAATTGCCTGTCCAAGTCAGGAACTTTGTCAGTAGTTGTATGACATGTCTGGCTCATTCTCTAGTTTCTCTATATATATCTTTCGTGTACAAGTTGCCTTGCTTAAACTAAACACAATTACAGTTATGAAGTTTAATAGTCTTACCATTCATGTGTCTCTGGAATTATTGATTAGATTGACTTTTATTTGGTCAACAGCTTGATAGTGATGAATTGTAATATGTGAGTGCTTTTTTGATCTGGAAGACACATGCTTCTTGTTTTCCATTACTTTAAATTTTGAGTTGGGGTATGCTTAACATGACATCATGTGCAACTTCTTTTAATACTAGATGATGAGTTTTATTAAGTAAGATCTTTGTCCAAATTTTTTCGATGTTTAAGCACAATATAGATACAGTAACTAGTTCATTTATTTTCCAACAATATTGAAAGTACCTATCTGTCTAAACAAGTTAGTTATTTTCAGCTGAAAGCTTACATTTATAGAATTATTGAAGATGTCATAATTTATCATAATATTATAGAAATGTTCAAATAAACAAATTCTTAATTATGTTTTCAGGTCCAAAGAAGAAACAGAAAGCAAATTCAACTGAGAAAACAGAAAAATATATAACAAGCACATGTGAGTTGGTATTTAAAATAACATATGTAGACTGATTTTTAGCTAAATTCTAAATGTTATTTTATGACCTAAGATGGGTGGGAAAGAGTTGTCTCTCTTTCTTGAAAATGTTAAGTATTGCTGTGCTAGATATATAACCTCACATCTGTGAAACAAAAGAGCTGTGAGTAGATCCCATAAATCCATACCCTACACTACACTTCCCTAGATATGGCAAAAAACATGCTTTGTACTAGGAAACCCTGAACATTGTTTGCATCAAAAACATAAAATAGCAGGTCCAAGGAGGTAGTACTGATACACATCATAGTCAGGACAAATGATCAAATGTACTTAATGTTCACTATGATAGATGACCAATGTCCAATGATTTACACTTCATTCTTAATACAAATAAGTAATAACAAAAAGAATTATAGGTTTCTCACTTGAGGGACATAACATGTTTGCTTGTACTAAAACCTTGTTACATGAAGAAGAAGGAGTAAGAATTGTATTTGCAAATATCAACTGTTATACCCCTGCTCTGAAGGAAGGTTGTATACTGGTTAACAATGTTTACTGTTATGCCCCTGCTCTGAAGGGAGGTTGTATACTGGTTAACAACTGTTATACCCCTACTCTGAAGGGAGTTTGTAAACTGGTTAACAACTGTTATACCCCTACTCTGAAGGAAGGTTGTATAATACCCCTGCTCTGAAGGAAGGTTGTATACTGGTTAACAATGTTTACTGTTATACCCCTGCTCTGAAGGGAGGTTGTATATAGATATAGGAAGATGTGGTATGAGTGCCAATGAGACAACTCTCCATCCAAGTTACAATTTATAAAAGTAATATACTGGTTAACAACTGTTATACCCCTGCTCTGAAGGGAGTCTGTATACTGGTTAACAACTGTTATACCCCTGCTCTGAGGGAGGTTGTATACTGGATAACAACTGTTATACCCCTGCTCTGAGGGAGGTTGTATACTGGTTAACAACTGTTATACCCCTGCTCTGAAGGGAGTCTGTATACTGGTTAACAACTGTTATACCCCTGCTCTGAGGGAGGTTGTATACTGGTTAACAACTGTTATACCCCTGCTCTGAGGGAGGTTGTATACTGGTTAACAACTGTTATACCCCTGCTCTGAAGGGAGGTTGTATACTGGTTAACAACTGTTATACCCCTGCTCTGAAGGGAGGTTGTATACTGGTTAACAACTGTTATACCCCTGCTCTGAGGGAGGTTGTATACTGGTTAACAACTGTTATACCCCTGCTCTGAGGGAGGTTGTATACTGGTTAACAACTGTTATACCCCTGCTCTGAAGGGAGGTTGTATACTGGTTAACAACTGTTATACCCCTGCTCTGAAGGGAGGTTGTATACTGGTTAACAACTGTTATACCCCTGCTCTGAGGGAGGTTGTATACTGGTTAACAACTGTTATACCCTTGCTCTGAAGAGAGGTTGTATACTGGTTAACAACTGTTATACCCCTGCTCTGAAGGGAGGTTGTATACTGATTAGCAACTGTTATACCCCTGCTCTGAAGGGAGGTTGTATACTGGTTAACAACTGTTGTACCCCTGCTCTGAAGGGAGGTTGTATACTGATAAGCAACTGTTATACCCCTGCTCTGAAGGGAGGTTGTATACTGATTAGCAACTGTTATACCCCTGCTCTGAAGGGAGGTTGTATACTGGTTAACAACTGTTGTACCCCTGCTCTGAAGGGAGGTTGTATACTGATTTACAACTGTTATACCCCTGCTCTGAAGGGAGGTTGTATACTGGTTAACAACTGTTGTACCCCTGCTCTGAAGGGAGGTTGTAAACTGATTAGCAACTGTTATACCCCTGCTCTGAAGGGAGGTTGTATACTGGTTAACAACTGTTGTACCCCTGCTCTGAAGGGAGGTTGTATACTGATTAGCAACTGTTATACCCCTGCTCTGAAGGGAGGTTGTATACTGGTTAACAACTGTTATACCCCTGCTCTGAAGGGAGGTTGTATACTGATTAGCACCTGTTATACCCCTGCTCTGAAGGGAGGTTGTATACTGATTAGCAACTGTTATACCCCTGCTCTGAAGGGAAGTTGTAAACTGGTTAACAACTGTTATATCCCTGCTCTGAAGGGAGTCTGTATACTGGTTAACAACTGTTATACCCTGCTCTGAAGGGAGGTTGTATACTGGTTAACAACTGTTATACCCCTGCTCTGAAGGGAGGTTGTATACTGGTTAACAACTGTTATACCCCTGCTCTGAAGGGAGGTTGTATACTGGTTAACAACTGTTATACCCCTGCTCTGAAGGGAGTCTGTATACTGGTTAACAACTGTTATACCCCTGCTCTGAAGGGAGGTTGTATACTGGTTAACAACTGATATGCCCCTGCTCTGAAGGGAATCTGTATACTGGTTAACATCTGTATACTTGGTCTATCCAATGCAAAGTACTCTTGTTGCCAATTGTTCTGAAGCCAGCATTTTCAGAAACTAATCATAATGATAATGTAGTCATTGTCTTTATGGAATGATTCTAGGTTATTAGATGGAGATTGAGGTACAATACATGAGGCCCTTTATTTAAAATTTCTAAAAATGATTTTAAACTTTCTGAGAAGCAAAAACTTTATTGACACTCTATTTTAAACATCCCAATATTGTAGCTATCCATTGTTTCCCAAATACAAGAACACTTTGTACCACCTTCTAGGTGAATTTAAAACTTTACAAGCCTACAGTTTACTTAAATACATCAAGATACTTTGGTCTATAAAAGAAAACTGGTGACAAAAATCTTACTTATGGCAACATTTTATTTTCATCTTTATGACTTTTTTATGTTGTAGGTTCTAAGAATATATTGACAGAGTCAATGTTTTCATCATTAGATGTCTCAGATTTGACGCAGAAAGGAGTCGAAGATATGGGATTTACAAACATGACTGAAATTCAGGCTAACTCCATTCCTCACCTGTTACAAGGGAGGTAGGTTAACATACATGTAAAAAATTCAGGCTAACTCCATTCCTCATCTGTTGCAAGGAAGGTAGGTTAACATACATGTAAAAAATTCAGGCTAACTCCATTCCTCATCTGTTACACGGGAGGTAGGTTAACATACATGTAAAATTTCAGGCTATTTAAAATATTTAACTCATATGAACTGTTTTCTATTTTGTGTAAGGCTGTTGCTCATACTTCAACATTAATGACAAGATTCAAAATGAAGATACTTTGGCATTTGGTTATTCCTATAAAGTTTGTAGTTTACAAAGCCTAAAGCAAATATGTTATACAAAAATCAAAAATATTAAAGGGGCACTAGCTACAAGATATATAAAAAAATATAAAATATGATTTTTTTTGTTCAATCATTAATGAAAGTGAAATAGTGAAATAATATATCGCTTTAAGAAGCCAGTATGGTTCTATTTTGTCAAAATAAGCTAAGAAACATTGAGGATGAATTATTCACTTGCAAGTGAATAATTCGACCTCATTGAATCCGTATTCATGTGAACTTCAATTTAACCCCTTAGCTAGAGATGGATACAGCATGCATTGTGCGTGTTTAATTATTTAAAGGAAAAGAATGTCAACATTGAAAGTGAAACAAAGGTAAATCATTTGATTGACTGATTCGATCCACAAAAAATAATTCTTATACAGGTAAAAACGATGGTTAACATATATATTAAATCTATAATATGAAATTAAACAGACGTAGAAAAATCCAAATGCACGAGTCTGATATCTATTTATATCTATATTTATGTTTATATCGCTTATATGGCAATTGGAGGTCTTCGGGGGTCAACTCAACAGTTAATTAGATGGCGTCTAGACTAAAGTACACACAAAATGAAGCTACATATTATCGAGCCCATGCCCGGTATATTGTTTATTTTAAACTTTTCATAATTTGGATAAATGTTTTACTTTGTTATAAATCAAATATGAGAGTTTGAGACAAATCGGTGAACATGAATTTGACAGCTAGTGCCCCTTTAACACTGATATCTGAAAGACAAATGTTTTGTGAACATTTGAAAGATGTTGGGGTTTATTTTAGATAATACTCTCTTGATCTTTTAATTCAAGGGGTAAAAAATAGGGGAATTATCATAACTTTTCCTTTATTGTTGTGTGATAGGTTTTATGGATGTGGTAAAGATTTTTAGTATATACATAATAGTAAATACATGTAAATTGTATGTGTAATACGATCAATGGCAATCGTGCTGTATCAGCCATCCGTGATGATATCGATATCAGTCACGGTTGTAAGGGCTTATCACACCCTTAATCTGTAAGACGTCATGTCATTGACATCAGTCACCGTTCAAAAGGCTTTATCAAACCCCTAATCTGTATGAAGTTACGTCACTTGAAAAAACATCTACTTGAGATATATAATAAAGTGTACATGATATGGCTTTTTCAATATCACACACCGTATCAACCCTCAACCAATATAATCCCTCGAGCAGAGCTCTTGGGATTATATTGGTGTCTCGGGTTGATACAGATTTGATATTAGAAAGCCATATAATATTCTCTATTAATGTCTACCACCAGTTGTAAAATTTTAAAAACCACAACTAAATTAAATACAATAGAAATTGGTTGTTTTGAAAATATTTTTAAGTGGCCCAAAAAGCCTGTTTAATTCAATGAATGAAAATCTATGTAACTAAATTCTTACAGAAAAACACAACTATCTATGTATTTTTAAAGTACTTTATAGATAAACATAAGAAAATGTGGTGTGATTGCCAAATATATGTTTGTTTCTTTATAGGGATTTAATGGGCGCTGCTAGAACAGGAAGTGGTAAAACATTAGCCTTCTTAATTCCGGCTGTAGAACTCATGTACAAGTTGAAATTTATGCCAAGAAATGGTAAATATTATAATTATTACAATAGCTTCATAATGTTAACATAATTTGTTGAAGGAATTGATTTAACTGTCAACTAAATGGTGTAATCACCAGATTAATCCTACAGTGAGAAATTCTTTATATTGCATGTTGTTATTTATTTGATTTAGATTGAAATTGCCAAAACTGTAAAAGCCTTGTTTTCGTGATAATATAGGTTTGTATGATTTTTCAAAATTTAAAAGAAAATAATACTCAAAATTGACAACAACACTTCAAATGGTCTGCAATTTTATTTGCTATGGTCGACATGTTTCACCTGCAGGGCAGGCGTCATCAGGACAATTTTCATACAGAAATTAATTACTGAAGTACTCAAAGTGGTACATTGAATTTGACGTTGTCATGGTGAGAGAAACAATAAAAAGTGAAAGTAGCAATAAAGAGTTATAAATAGATAAGATAAATATAGAAAAATAAAGTTTGTTTACAATGTAAATTGAGTTCGTTTTACTTTTATATGATACATGACATTGTTCTAAAGGCTTGGTATCTAAATGGACAATCTTCCCATGGTTCCTACCACTTCGCAAGGCTTCTCTTCCAACCTGGCCATTGTTGGATGTTACTACTTCCTGGCGCGTCGGCAACAATGGGAAGATTTTGGTTGCCGCTAATGGAAAATGAAATTGTCAAAAATTGTTCCCTTGTTAATTATTTGGTATATGTATAATTTTTTGATCGTCTTCTGTAGTTGGTCTGTTTATCGGCATGGTTGTAAATTTATAGTTCATTTATGATCGGCACCCGCGTGGTGTGTGGTCCGTTTCTTCTGCTATCATTTATAGATGTACATGTATGTAAGGTGGTATCGGAAATCTTGGTAATCTTGGTTCAGTTGTTGTTTTGTCGCACGTATGGAATAATCCTTGGTCCATGTATACGCTGGTGGCCTGTAGATCGGCGCTTGTAGCAAGGCGGTTCCTTTCGGATGCAGGGGTTCACGAATAAATTAATCTTAAATTAAACTCCGTTTGGTGAACCAACGCCTGTGTGAATCATTTTGATAGAGTCCCTGAAGTGGATACCCCGCATACCAAGGTATCCACTTCAGGGACTCTATCAAAATGATTCACACAGGCGTTGGTTCACCAAACGGAGTTTAAATTAAAAGAAAATAGTTTATTTTTTGTTTTACATGCTGTAGATAATGAAAATATGTTGTGTGGCAAGAATTCTTGCCTGCTTGCATCTCATTCATCATTTGTTTAGCCTGTTAAATGGCGGAAATTTTCTCACTTCCAAATTTTAGTCAGCATTTTGTAAGTATAATAAATCATCATTACATGACTTTTAGTTTAGTTTTAGACAATTCTGATTTAAAACAACAGTCCACTTTGTAAAAATACACAATGTCAGGACCTAAAATGAATGCATTTTCTTCCTACAACAACATCATCATCATCATCATCCTGCCCATGTAAACCACTACAATTTTGATTCAATCTCCTTCTTCAAAATAATTATTTGATTACCGAAAAAAAATGATGAAACAAATTACTTACTTTGTTGCTATGTTAATGATTGTTTTAGATCGATCATCAAGCATTGTGTCAATTGATTATAAACATAGGTGAGCTGATATAAACTCAATAAAGTGAAGATTATTTTCTTAATAAGATATAGTTTAATTGATGTACTGTGGGCCATTAAAAATAATATCTATGGGAGGGTAGGACACCACATTTTTTTTTTTTCTGGAATAGTCCTTAACCCTAGAGGTATCTCAAAGGTTTATGACATAATTGAAGTTTTGAATGAGAAATAAGAAAACAACTTGAATGATAAACATTTATTTGTTTTATTTTGTGAATAGGAACTGGTTGTATAGTTATCTCCCCTACTAGAGAACTCTCAATGCAGACTTTTGGAGTACTGAAAGAGTTATTAAAGTATCATTGTCACACATTTGGATTGATTATGGGTGGAACAAGTCGACAAGATGAAGCAAAGAAGCTTGCCAAAGGAGTCAATTTTCTAGTTGCAACACCAGGGAGACTACTAGATCACTTGCAGGCAAGTTTACAATGCATATTGTAAGGATAGTCATTAACTGGATACCTTCTGGTACACCTCTAAGTTCACCTGGTGTTTTTGGTTGGGTTGGTTTTGTTCACTATTTAGTTTTCTTGTATAACCTTTTCTGGACAGTTGTTTGTGTTTTATCTTTGGCCATGGTATTATTGTCTGTCCTACTTCAATGGTGTTCAATACTTTCAGATTAGTAAGAAATATGACCCTTTGAAAATTATCTTTTAACCCTTTCACCGTTAGCTGCCCAGACAGAAGCTACTCTGAGACGATGGCTTCCCTTGCTACTATTACTCAAGTGGGAGATCTTCATAATAAATGTCAATAAAAACTTGTAGTTATTTGTGTCTTTATTTCATTCACTAACACCATGTTCACAGTTTTGTTCATGTTTTGATAATTTTTTCTTCATAAAATATTCAAATTTTCAAATTATCAGCATTACCTAGGTGAAATTCTCAAAATTCTGCTCTTTGACCCAAAATCGTAATTTTTTAACCCAAAACGGCAAAATTTTGAAAAATTTAATGAGGCTGTACAAATTCCTTACACTGAATGATGTCCATTCCAAGTGTTTTGTACATAAAACGACATTTTATGTCAAAAAAGTATACTAGTTGAGCTTCAATTCTTCCATATTCTTTCAAAAAAAATGTTCCCTCATTTCAAATTCTCGTAAATTCCGTAAATTTCCTCTGATTTTGACACGGTTTTCAACAAACGGAAGCGCCATGTTTACACTTCATCTGGGTATTCAATAAAGAAAGATAACTCGTGTTTGCACTGTTTTGAGTGGGAAATATAAAAGAGGTATTCCGATCCCAGTAAAACGGGACTCATCGGCGAAAGGGTAAAGGAATTAAATAAGACCTCCAGAAATGTTTTAAACATGATGAAGTATTCCTGAAATATTATAAGCAACTATAGTATATGACCACTCCAGTTTAAGGAGGAAAGCTATTCGAACATTTATGGAAGTTCAGAATTTTGCTTCTTTTAACTGCAGACTACTTCAACAACAACTTTCAATTAATGTTATGATGTTTGTTCACTCTTTGGAAGGCTATAGAAAACTAGAACTTAAAGTAATCAGCATCCTGGAGGTCACTTCGTTTAGAATGGATATAGATGCTTATATCTTTGTACTATACAATTTGGATCAAGTTAATCAACCATTGAAACCATGACAGCTTTGGTTTTTGTTAAATTTACAAAAATTGCAGAATTGACTATAAATACAAAAATAAGAAGATGCCAATTAGACAACTCTCCACCAGAGACCAAATGAAATAGAAGCTAACAACTATAAGTTCCTGTATGGCTTTCAACAATAAGCAAAACCCATACTGCATAGTCACCTATAAAAGGCCCAGAAATGACAAATGTAAAACAATTCAAGCTAGAAAACTAACGGCCTGATTTATGTAAAAAAACAATGAACGAAATACAAATATGATATTCAGCAACAGACGACAACCGCTGAATTACAGGCTCCTAACTTGGGACAGGCACATACAGAATGTGGCAGGGTTAAACATGTTAGCGGGCACCAAACCCTTCCCTAACCTGGGACAGTGGTGTAACAGGACAACATATGAACAAACTATAAAAATCAGTTGAAAATGGCTTTTAATCTGCTTTTACTACAAAAAGTATATGTTATAACTATATCCTAAAAAAGAAAAGTTTCTGGTTGTCAATATGTTTACCATTCTTATGTAAAAATCAATTCTTTTACTTCAGAACACAGCAAATTTTATGTACAAGAATCTACAGTGTTTGATCATTGATGAAGCAGACAGGATTTTAGATATTGGTTTTGAGGAAGAAATGAAACAGATTATCAAATTATTACCAAGTAAGTCTAAAAAGCATATCATCAGCAGTGTTTCAAAATAGTATGGCTTCAGCTTATTTGAGGAAAACTCATCCTTGCATTTCTTATACTTAGAAACAAAAACAAAAAAGTGAATACTGTGAAATAAATCAAAATCAGGTCTTGTTAGCGCTCTCTAATGTACAGTTCTTGCCAGATTTTTATGAAACTTATATCATAGGTTTATATCAGCAATGTCTTGGACAAGTTCGAAAATCAGTGCCAATCAATTATTTTAAATAGAGTTATGCCCCTTGGAAACACTAATTATATGAAAAATTGCATCGTTAATGCTCTCATGTGTACAATTCTTGCCAGTTTTTAATGAAACTTATATCATAGGTTTATATCACAATGTCTTTGACACTTTCGAAAATAAGTGCTGATCGAATATTTTTAATTAGTTATGCCCTTGGAAAAATTAATTATAATGGAAATGGCATTGCATTTGCTCTGAAGCCTTCATTTCTCTAAGATATTTATAATTTGTTTTTTTTTTTTAGTTATTGCCCTTGGATAGATAAAATATGTGCAACGTAGGGGACATTTGAACTCTTATTATATTCATGACAAGAACAATACAAAAACTAATAAAGTTTTGTTTTGAATGTGTTTGACAAAGTCCAAAAGCAGCTAATAATATAGTGATTTTGAATGGGTGGGTGGGAGGTCGAGGAAAAGTTGGTAACTTTTTTATGTAATCAAGTCCTCCTCCAATTTTAAACCCAGATCCTTGAAACTTCACATAAAGATAACACACATGTTGAAGGTGTGCATCTGTTATTTTGGATTTTTCAGCAAAAAAAACTAAAAGATGGTAACAGTTTTTGTTTTTAACCAAAATCTTTTGAATTTCATACAGAAATTACAAACTTATTGAGGTTATGCACCTTTTGTTATGGAGTTGTTTAAATTTGCTCACCCATTTTATATTTTATAAATGTTCAGTATAAACCATTCTCCATTGTTTAAAAAAAAATCTGTGGAACCCAGCTATTTTGGGTTTTTGATACATTTTTCGGGTTTTAAAATGATGGATTAAAACCAAGGACAAAATATTTTTAATGCCAATAGAGAAAAAAGGGCAACAGATCACTTAGCTTATTGACCCCTCATGGACAGTTGCTTCTGGGGTTCTGTAGCTTACACAGAGTGTGATTTTCTCCCAACATGTGGCTTGGTTTTACTCCTGCCAGACCACATTATATTGCCAAAAGACTGCCCTTTCAACTTAATTCAACTATAGAAAAGCTTTGAGTAGCCATAGTCTGCTCTCAAACTGTCACTAAGATTTGACATAATGTAAATCTGCTATTATCAGTTTCCTTCTAAATTCTTTTTCAGAGAGAAGACAGACAATGTTATTCTCTGCTACACAGACCAGGAAGATAGAAGATTTGGCTCGTATATCCTTAAAGAAGGAACCATTATATGTAGGAGTGGATGACAAAAGGGAAAAGGCTACTGTTGAAGGATTAGAGCAGGTCTGTTATTTATATTTGTTATATTTGCCTAAACTTATCTTAAGTAGCTGATAGTGATGGATAAAAGACAGAATTATTTCTAGAATGTGAGTTTTATCATTATTTAAACAGTGATTATGTATGCTCCATTACAGTCAAGTCTGGTAATTTTGTTGTCTGGTAGTTGTGAATTAACAGACATAATGTTAAAATAACAGACTTAAAACACTTTTGAAAAAATACTGCATTGTTAAAATATACAAGGAACATCATGATAAAGATTTTAATTTTATTTAAAGAAATCCGTGATCAGTTAACCAGGTTTTTGGACCTTTTTGTTTTCAGACAAACTATACAACTTATAGAGCTATTTTACAGTAGTTTAGGCAATTAAAGTCTTATATTTTTGCATGCTGGGTTTGATAGGAGGTTTAATCAAGCATCACAATTAGAATACTCATTTATAAACAACAGCATAGGCAGAGTTTCATTATGGTTATTGAGAAGACATACTACATGTACTACTGTAAATGTATTTATTTTCATGGATTGAGGAAAAGTTGTTTTTTCATGGATATTTGAATTTGCGGTTTTGCAAAGTGTGCATACAAGCCTATATACAAAATGTATACTTCATTGAACATTCAAATTAGTGGTTTATCTATACCAATGAAATCCACGGAAATTAGTATCTGATGTCATTACCCTGTACTTCAGGGATTCTAATTTCTGTATACTGCAAGGTTAATGGGTTTTTATATGTAAACGGATTCATATTTTGTCTCATGGAATTAAACCCCAATAGCTCAACTGTTTATGTTACTGGTAAAGAGGGTTCGGCCTGTGCTTTCACTCCAGGTCTTTGGACAGCAAACTGACAATACCAAGAACCAATCAATTCAACTAATGACAGGTGTCAGAAATCTAGAAATGTCAGGAGGTGTCGACTGCGCCAAGCAATGTATTCACTCATATAACAAATAACCAAGATGGATAAAACAGTTTCATATTTAAAAGACAGACAATAAACTCGTATATCGCGGTATCTCAATATGAAATTTAATCCATGAATATTCAATACATTTTCGAACCTCACCTTACAGGATAAATTGGGGAAATGCATCCACAGTGAAAAATACCCATAATAAATTAACCAAGTAAAATGAAAGTGTTTGGCCTTAGTACTCTAAAATTGATTCAAGAAATAAATTCCCACACTAGAAATTTAGACATGACCGAACTTCAATCAATCAAATTCACGATGTCACACATTTTGACTTCAGAGATAAAATAAATATACCCACTGGTTCCCACCATCTTTGTTAGACTAGAACATGAACCTTGAAATTTTATTTACCAGGGACCAAAGTCAGTCGCATTTAATCAATTCCTGTTACTCTAAAATATCCCTTTTGGATTAACCACCTTTTTATACGACCGCAAAAAAATTTTTGTGGTCGTATATTGGTATGACGTTGGCGTCGTCGTCGTCGTCGTCGTCGTCGTCTGGCGTTGTCCGGCGTCGTCCGAAGACACATTGGTTTTCGCACTCTAACTTTAGTTTAAGTGAATGGATCTCTATGAAATTTTACCACAAGGTTCAATACCACAAAAGAAAGGTTGGGATTGATTTTGGGGGTTATGGTACCAACAGTAAAGGAATTAGGGGCCAAAAAGGGGCCAAAAATAAGCATTTTTGTAATTTCCAGACATAACTTGTGTGTTAGTGTATGGATCTCTCTGACATTGTACCACAAGGTTCCATATCACAAAAGGAATGCTGGGATTGATTTTGGGGGTAATTGCCTCAAAATTTTAGGAATCAGGGGCCAAAAAAGGGGCAAAAAACAAGCATTTTTCTAGTTTAATGACAATAACTTGTGTGTAAGTGTATGGATCTTTCTGAAATTGTACTACAAGGTTCCATATCACAAAGGGAAAGCTGGAATTGAGTTTGGGGGTAATTGCCGAAACGTTTAGGAATTGGGGGGCCAAAAAGGGGCCAAAAGTAAGCATTTTTCTAGTTTCCAGACAATAACTTGTGTTCAAGTGTATGGATCTCTCTGAAATTGTACTGCAAGGTACCATACCACAAAGGGAAGGCTTGGATTGATGATGGGGGTAATTGCCTCATTATTTTAGGAATTAGGGGCCAAAAAGGGGCAAAAAATACATTTTTCTAGTTTCCAGACAATAACTTGTGTTGACAAGTGTATGGATCTCTCTGAAATTGTACTGCAAGGTACCATACCACAAAGGGAAGGCTGGGATTGAGTTTGGGGGTGATGAATCATAAGGGGGTTCAAAAAATTTGGGGGGGGGGATTTTTTTTTTTTTCCTTTTTTTTTTCTTTTAAAATTTTCCATTTTAAGTTGGTTATTTCTGATTTATATTTAAAAGCAAATAATAATGATATGGTAGGAGATACACACCAAACAGGATGTGTAAATTATTATATAATAAGTATTGTGCAATAGCAAGAAATTTTCAATTGCACAGTATTGCACAATAGCAAGAAATCTTCAATTGCACAGTATTGCGCAATAGCAAGAAATCTTCAATTGCACAGTATTGCACAATAGCAAGAAATATCCAATAGCACAATATTGCGCAATAGCAAGAAATTGTCAATAGTACAGTATTGCGCAATAGCAAGAAATTGTCAATAGTACAGTATTGCGCAATAGCAAGAAATATTTAATTGCACAGTATTGTGCAAAAGAAGATACTTCGTATAAATTGCTTATTTCTTGACCAATTTCAATGGGATTTTATTCTTGAATTCTTGGGGTTCTTTAATATGCTGAATCTAACCGTGTATTTAGTTTTTGGAATTTGGGCCCCTTTTTAAATTGGTCCACATTGAGGTCCAAAGGGTCCAAAATTAAACTTTGTTTGATTTCATCAAAAATTGAATTATTGGGGTTCTTTGATATGCCGAATCTAACCGTGTATTTAGATTCCTAATTTTTGGTTCCGTTTTCAAATTGGTCTACATTAAGGTCCAAAGGGTCCAAAATTTAACTTAGTTTGATTTTAACAAAAATTGAATTCTTAGGGTTCTTTGATATGCTGAATCTAAACATGTATTTAGATTTTTGATTATGGGCCCAGTTTTCAAGTTGGTCCAAATCGGGGTCCAAAATTAAACTTTGTTTGATTTCAACAAAAATTGAATATATGGGGTTCTTTGATATGCTGAATCTAACCATGTATTTAGATTTTTGATTTTTGGGCCCCGTTATCAACTTTGTCCACATTGAGGTCAAAAGGGTCCAAAATTAAACTTTGTTTGATTTCATCAAAAATTGAATTCTTTGGGTTCTTTGATATGCTGAATCTAACCATGTATTTAGATTTTGGATATTGGACCATAATAGGTGAATGTCCAATTTAAAATTTTTAAGTTCTTAGACCACATTCATTCTGTGTCAGAAACCTATGCTGTGTCAAATATTTAATCACAATCCAAAAGCAAAGCTGTATCAAGCTTGAATGTTGTGTCCATACTTGCCCCAAATGTTCAGGGTTTGACCTCTGCGGTCGTATCAAGCTGTGCCCTGCGGAGCATTTTATTAAATATCACTACCAAAATGGACACCATCTCTTTATAAACCCAATATTCATAAAATATCTAGCTAGTGTACAATTCCTTCTATTTTTTGGAATGGAAACGTAGATTATGAATTTAGAAATGTTTGACTCTAAAACCGAAACATAAATTAATTGTAAGGAAATCATTATTTAAGTCAAACATTGAAACTTGAATAAAATAATTTTGAATACGACTTACCAGTAAGAAAGTTTTCCCCAATCTTAAGAAATATTGTCCAGACGAGGTTTAAATATCCAAGTCTGGACATTGAGTCTCTAGCACGAGAAAAACTATCCCCTCAAAATCTGAAAGGACAAACCTAGTTATATTTTATAACTAAAAATAGAAACAGGATTTACACGACTCATGACTCATAAACGTTACAATACCATGTCCTTAAGACACCAACCTAATCAGCAAAACATGTCAACCAATAAAATTGCAGTTCACATAAGTGTTGTTTTCACTTTAGCTGTATTTTATTAATTTTGTTTGACAACCCTGTATACCATCTGTATCTTCTTAAGGGAACTCTACAAATAGGAAATATAGGAGGCGTTTGTTCAGCATTTCTTGATTTATATAAAAGTTAGGTAAAAAGATTAAGATTTGACCTTAATAGATAGTGACAAAGGGGAGAGTGTTATGCATACATCTGCAACTATTTTTTTTAATTCCGCAAGTACTTAACGTATTTTGTCTATTCTTATCTTTGTAAACACCTGACGTTTACTCTTAACTGTTTTGTTTTTTATGAAATGAATATTTTTGTTTAATTTTACATGTACTGTCGATGCAGATGACAAAAAGCAGTCACCCATCTTCAACTTCTGACTTGATTTCAATTAAACTTTTGTATAATTTTTGTAACCCTATGTTATTATTCACCTTCTTTTTAACCAGAATGAAATTTTGTTTACCCGGTAATTGTATTCCAAATATCAATTAAATGCTGTTTTTATTAGTGCATACTGGTTGCTGATGATGCTTTGATTTATTTTCAGGGCTATATAGTGTGTCCGTCAGACAAAAGATTTCTGTTATTATTTACATTCCTTAAAAAGAACAGAAAGAAGAAGGTGATGGTTTTCTTTAGCTCCTGCAAATCTGTTAAATATCACCATGAACTGCTGAATTATATAGATCTGCCAGTCTCCTGTATACATGTAAGTTATCTGTTAAATATCACCATGAACTGTTGAATTATATAGATCTGCCAGTCTCCTGTATACATGTAAGTTATCTGTTAAATATCACCATGAACTGTTGAATTATATAGATCTGCCAGTCTCCTGTATACATGTAAGTTATCTGTTAAATATCACCATGAACTGTTGAATTATATAGATCTGCCAGTCTCCTGTATACATGTAAGTTATCTGTTAAATATCACCATGAACTGTTGAATTATATAGATCTGCCAGTCTCCTGTATACATGTAAGTTATCTGTTAAATATCACCATGAACTGTTGAATTATATAGATCTGCCAGTCTCCTGTATACATGTAAGTTATCTGTTAAATATCACCATGAACTGTTGAATTATATAGATCTGCCAGTCTCCTGTATACATGTAAGTTATCTGTTAAATATCACCATGAACTGTTGAATTATATAGATCTGCCAGTCTCCTGTATACATGTAAGTTATCTGTTAAATATCACCATGAACTGTTGAATTATATAGATCTGCCAGTCTCCTGTATACATGTAAGTTATCTGTTAAATATCACCATGAACTGTTGAATTATATAGATCTGCCAGTCTCCTGTATACATTTAAGTTACCTGTAAAATATGACCATGAACTGTTGAATTATTGTGTCACCTGACAGCTTACAGCAACACAAAGGGATCACTTCTGTCATCGTCTGTGTCACACTTTTTAGCTCACCGGGGCCCGATGGGCCCCATGTGAGCTTATGCCATCACTTGGCGTCCGTCGTCGTCGTCATCGTCGTCTGTCGTCGTAAACTATTTCAAAAATCTTCTCCTCTGAAACTACTGGGCCAAATACCTTCAAACTTTAACTAAATGTTTCTTAGGGTATCTAGTTTATAAATTATATCCGAAGTTTTGATCCATCGACAAACATGGCCGCCATGGCTAAAAATAGAACATAGGGGTCAAATGCAGTTTTTGGCTTATATCTCAAAAACTAAAGCTTTTAGAGCAAATCTGACATTGAGTAAAATTGTTCAATTGGTCAAGATCTATCAGCTCTGAAATTTTCAGACGAATCGAACAACCCATTGTTGGGTTGCTGCCACCGAATTGGTAGTTTTAACAAAATTTTGCAGTTTTTTGTTATTATTTTGAATATTATTATATATATATATAAACTGTAAGCAGCAATAATGTTCAGCAAAGTAAGATCTACAAAAAAGTTAATATGACCATAATTGTCAATTGACCCCTTAAGGAGTTATTGCCCTTTAAAGACAATTTTACACAATTTGTTCATCAAGTTTGCTAACATTTAAAAATCTTCTCCTCTGAAACTACTGGGCCAATTACCTTCAAACTTTAACTAAATGTTCCTTAGGGTATCTTGTTTATAAAATTGTATCCAAATTTTGTATCCATTGACAAACATGGCCGCCATGGCTAAAAATAGAACATAAGGGTCAAATGCAGTTTTTGGCTTATACATGTATCTCTAAAACTAAATCTTTTAGAGCAAATGTGACATGAGGTAAAATTGTTTATTTGGTCAAGATCTATAGGCCCTGAAATTATCAGACGAATAGAACAACCCATTGTTGGGTTGCTGCCACCGAATTGGTAGTTTTAACAAAATTTTGCAGTTTTTTGTTATTATTTTGAATAGTACTATAGATATATGTCAACTGTAAGCAGCAATAATGTTCAGTAAAGTAAGATCTACAAAAAAGTTAATATGACCAAAATTGTCAATTGACCCCTTAAGGAGTTATTGCCCTTTAAAGACAATTTTACACAATTTGTTCATCAAGTTTGCTAACATTTAAAAATCTTCTCCTCTGAAATGCAGGTGAGCGATTCAGGCTCTTGAGAGCCTCTTGTAATAATTCCACACCTCCATGAAAATTAATGGATAGAATTCTAGCAAACTTTTATATTTCTTCTAGGACATCATGTTCTGCACTTGCTATTTTAATTTTTGGTTTAAGTGATTTGGAGAGTCCCTTACTAAAACATGAACTTATCCATTTCTGATTTTTTTTATTTGGAGACATGGGATGACACACAGGGAAGACTTACACATTTTATAGATTTCCCAGTCTCCTGTAAACATTTAAGTTATCTATTATATACATTAAAACTACTTCTGAATTATATAGACATCCCGTCTCCTGTAAACAAGTGAATTACCTTCTTATATTTACTACCAGACAATGAAAAAGATACACTATTGTAAATGTTCATCCCATCTGGAATAAGACCAAAAAATTCTGTCTCTTGTGTCTTTTATTTTTGTCATTTCATATTTCCTTTTTATACAATTTTTTTCGGTCGTATTTTGGTATGACGTTGGCATCGTCGTCGTCCAAAGACACATTGGTTTTCGCACAATAACTTTAGTTTAAGTGAATGGATCTCTATGAAATTTTACCATAAGGTTCAATACCACAAAAAGAAGGTTGGGATTGATTTTGAGGGTTATGCGGGGGGGGTAATTTTTTTAATTTTTTTATGGGGGGGGAGGGGGGGTCAATTCGCAACAGCAAAGTGTATTGCACAAAAGCAAAAAATTGAATATAAATTCAAATCATATAACCAATTCTAAGTTCTTTGACTACAGTTATTCTGTGTCAGAAACCTTTTATGTGTCAAATATTGAATTACAGTCCAAATTCAGACCTGTTTCAAGCACGAATATTGCGTCCATTTTTGCCCCAACTGTTCAGGGTTGGACCTCTGCGGTCGTATCCAGCTGTGCTCATCGAAGCAATTTATTAGATGTTACTATTTTAATAATTTTAAAAAATGCTGATTAAGGTAAATTAACTTTAGCTATGATTATGTATGTCATTTTCTATTTTAAGACCTTTATGATGTATTTAAATGGGTTATTATGGTTGCTAACTCCATTGGAAATTTGAATTGAAATTATGACCATGACTGAGGGAAAGAAATTTTTTTTCGAAAAAAGAGGGGGAGAGGTTAGAAAAAAATTGGGGGGGACAATTTTTTCTCCTCAAGATTTCAGAAATCAAAAAGAAAATCCTTCAATTTATTTTTTTTTTGCAAAAAAAGGGGGGGGGGGGGAGGTCAATTTGCAACAGCATAGTGTATTGCACTAAAGCAAAAAATTGAATATAAATTCAAATCATATAACCAATTCTAAGTTCTTTGACTACAGTTATTCTGTGTCAGAAACCTATTATGTGTCAAATATTGAATTACAATCCAAATTCAGACCTGTATCAAGCGCGAATATTGTGTCCATTTTTGCCCCAACTGTTCAGGGTTGGACCTCTGCGGTTATATCCAGCTGTGCTCGGCGAAGCAATTTATTATCATTTGGATTTTTATTTATTTTTTTGCATTCTAAAGTTAGGGTAACAGGAATGTTGGAGAAATCAGAAATTTTAAAATGGGGAAAAAATGTTTTTGTCTCGCCTGCCAGGATAGGCTTGCTCTTTCAATCTACAATTGTTAAAATTTTGTGATTAGGTCAGATTAAAAGTAACCAATAGTGTTATTTATGGATGTTTTGTATGCACTTGAATAAGCATTGACACATCTCATTTCCATGGATATTATTGGAACTGTCGCCTTAATCATTATTTACTGAGTTTGAACTTTTTGCATAGTTAACATGTTAAAGTTTGTAATAAGGTCAGTTTAATGGATACTTTTAAATGATATTTGAAATACAGTTGTGTTTACATATAGATTCTTACATTGGTACCAGTGGATTATTGGATTTATCCAATCGAGATAGTTAAATTATCAATTTTAAAGTCCGAGCCTCGGCGAGGACTTTAAAATTGATAATTTAACTATCGAGATTGGATAAATCCGATAATCCACGAGTAACTATGTAAGAATCTGTTTCTCTAATGATTAAAAAATAAATTTTCCTTTTTTGCTAAACTAAAATCCCCTTCGAGTGCCTTCCACTTTCCATAAAGTTGTCAATTTCATTAACACCTGTTAGCATATTTTGATGCATCCAGTGAGCTGAGAAAGGTTATGACCCTTAAACTCATCCAATCATCATCTGAGATCACTGGCAACCACACGTTGATTAAATTTTTTTATACAATGGGTTCGGAAAGGGATAAATTTCCATAGAATTAGAGAAATTGGTATATCTCATTCCCATGGAGATTATTTGGTAGGGTTCTTTGAAGAAATTTTCACAATTTACAGCAGAAGAAGAAACCCTGTGATTTTCATTTGTTTTAATTTTCCATTTCACAACTTTTGATTAGCTTCCTATGGAAATAAAAGAAGGAATTTTTACACACTGTTACAGAATAGTTGTTTTACTTTAGAGCAAGGCATTGTCTAAGGTGTGCCCTGAAGCTTTCCTGAAATTGTTGCTTATGGTAAAATTGTTGAAATTGTTATGAAATAGGCCCATATTTCTTGCAAAATAGCTTTTTAAGGATTCTGAATTTTCTTGGTAATATCACATACCTGTGCCAAAGCCAGGAGTAAAGTATCAATAATATTGTTTTGAATTATCTCCCTTTTACTGTGACTTCGCTGTAGGTGTTGAATTATCTCCCTATTACCATGACTTAACTGTAAGTCTACCAATTGCAGTTCATAACAAATTCTGACCAAATTGCAATTTGTTTTATCAAATCAAACTGTTCAAATGGTCAGAAATGTTAAACAACTGCTGTAGAAAACCAGTCAAGTCCTCAAAGTGCAAGGTAATAAAATAAAGCATAATTACAATCCTATCGAACTTTAGACCAGTTGAACAGTTTGTTTGATAAGACAAATTCCAACTAGGTCAGAATTTTGTCACAGTAATACAAGCACAACATCATACAATGATAAGTATATTAAATTTTATGAATTTTAGTGTTTCAATTGTTCTTAGAAAATGATCAGGCAGTCAGTGTCATGTTATCGAAGAGTTATAAACATAATTCTTCCTCTGGCTTTCAGGAACAGTTCATTGGTTCTGATCGAAAATTTCTGTAAATCTGCTCCTTGCATATTCATATCCATATATTGTAATTTGTTCTTATATGCCTGAAGTTGAAAAAGATAAATCATATTGAAAAATGATGCAATATTATTCTATGTAGAAATTATAGGATCAAATATTAAAAAAAAATGAATATGGACTTTTTCAAATCATGGAACCAGAGAAATATTTTTAATTTCTCCCGAACCAGATATGCAGAATTTAGATGTTTTATCAGTAAGTTTATTTGAATGAAATGAATAAAATTGAATTAACAATGCCAAAATGCTTTTTTTGGACTGTCCTGGAAATTTACTGATGAAGAACATTGTATCAAATTTTCAGAGTTTTCCTGCAAATAGGATATAGCAAACTTGAACATACATTCTTATTGTATTTTTCCATACTTACATCCAATTACTCATGCCCTGCACCCCTTACTGCCATAGTGGAACTCCATTTTTACATTTGACCTTTGGAATAGTTCACAAAGGGGTTTCTTTATTTTATCTACAATACAGCAGGTTAATGTTTTATGGGAGTTTTAATTTTTGCTTACTGGGTATTTTAATTGATAAATGAAATTCATTAAAATAAATACAGTCCAAATTGTAGGCAATACCATATATTTTTGTATTTAGTACTATTAAGTAATGTTCCTATCTTCATATTTAGGATATAGTAAAGTGCTTTCTACTTTTCATGAAATTGCAGGATTTGATGTTTCTTAATTGTGAAGAATGTAAAACAAGTTCTAAGTAAGGGATTATCCTATTGTTAACTTACAGGTAAATTAACAGCATTTCTAGAAGTGAGTTACACTGCCTGAAGCACATTTAATAGTTTGACAAGATTTGTCAGTGAAATCCATTTAAAGTTTAATTTTGAAACAAACAAAAAATCAGATTGACTTTTAAGTGAATGTTGATAATTTCAAGACTCTGCTAACTTCAAACTGACTAAAAATAAATCAATAAAACACAATATGAAATGGAGAAAAATCTTATAAACCTTAACATTATCTAAATAAGCGTACTGAAAGTTAGATTAGTAGATTTGTGTTTTGTAAGAATATTTCAAATGTTCAGATACATGTACAAATGAAGCAGAAAGTAACATTTACTTTTGAATTATAAAAAAAAAACATCTTGTGTTTTTATATTTTTTTTAACATCTAAATTTTCTTTAAATAAATCACATAATGAACTTATATTTTGATGTTACTGGATAGGGACATTGGATATTGAATTAGATATAGCTGTAAATATTTTTTTCAAATTTATTGATATGACCTAAAATGAACAAAAAGATAATTCTTCAGTGAAAATTTGCATAATTTATATTTACATTCACAATTTAATAGGACACTTGTACACTCTCTATCAACTCATGGTACTGTTGTGTAATCTTATACTTTAAGTACAAGTTTTTTGAATTTCTCAAAAATGATAAATTCCTTTCATCACTAAGACTAGTCCATAATGGAAATACCCAAAAAGGAAATATGTATAAGGTTTCCACCTAAGAAATTCAGGAAATCATGTATAAGGTTTCCACCTAAGAAATTCAGGAAATCATGTATAAGGTTTCCACCTAAGAAATTCAGGAAATCATGTATAAGGTTTCCACCTTAGAAATTCAGGAAATCATGTATTAGGTTTCTACCTAAGAAATTCAGGAAATCATGTATTAGGTTTCCACCTAAGAAATTCAGGAAATCATGTATAAGGTTTCCACCTAAGAAATTCAGGAAATCATGTATAAGGTTTCCACCTTAGAAATTCAGGAAATCATGTATTAGGTTTCCACCTAAGAAATTCAGGAAATCATGTATTAGGTTTCCACCTTAGAAATTCAGGAAATCATGTATTAGGTTTCCACCTAAGAAATTCAGGAAATCATGTATAAGGTTTCCACCTAAGAAATTCAGGAAATCATGTATAAGGTTTCCACCTTAGAAATTCAGGAAATCATGTATTAGGTTTCCACCTAAGAAATTCAGGAAATCATGTATTAGGTTTCCACCTTAGAAATTCAGGAAATCATGTATTAGGTTTCCACCTAAGAAATTCAGGAAATCATGTATTAGGTTTCCACCTAAGAAATTCAGGAAATCATGTATAAGGTTTCCACCTTAGAAATTCAGGAAATCATGTATTAGGTTTCCACCTAAGAAATTCAGGAAATCATGTATTAGGTTTCCACCTAAGAAATTCAGGAAATCATGTATTAGGTTTCTACCTAAGAAATTCAGGAAATCATGTATTAGGTTTCCACCTAAGAAATTCAGGAAATCATGTATTAGGTTTCTACCTAAGAAATTCAGGAAATCATGTATTAGGTTTCCACCTAAGAAATTCAGGAAATCATGTATAAGGTTTCCACCTTAGAAATTCAGGAAATCATGTATTAGGTTTCCACCTAAGAAATTCAGGAAATCATGTATTAGGTTTCCACCTAAGAAATTCAGGAAATCATGTATTAGGTTTCTACCTAAGAAATTCAGGAAATCATGTATTAGGTTTCCACCTAAGAAATTCAGGAAATCATGTATTAGGTTTCCACCTTAGAAATTCAGGAAATCATGTATTAGGTTTCCACCTTAGAAATTCAGGAAATCATGTATTAGGTTTCCACCTAAGAAATTCAGGAAATCATGTATAAGGTTTCCACCTTAGAAATTCAGGAAATCATGTATTAGGTTTCTACCTAAGAAATTCAGGAAATCATGTATTAGGTTTCCACCTAAGAAATTCAGGAAATCATGTATTAGGTTTCCACCTTAGAAATTCAGGAAATCATGTATTAGGTTTCCACCTTAGAAATTCAGGAAATCATGTATTAGGTTTCCACCTAAGAAATTCAGGAAATCATGTATTAGGTTTCCACCTAAGAAATTCAGGAAATCATGTATAAGGTTTCCACCTTAGAAATTCAGGAAATCATGTATTAGGTTTCCACCTAAGAAATTCAGGAAATCATGTATTAGGTTTCCACCTAAGAAATTCAGGAAATCATGTATTAGGTTTCTACCTAAGAAATTCAGGAAATCATGTATTAGGTTTCCACCTAAGAAATTCAGGAAATCATGTATTAGGTTTCCACCTAAGAAATTCAGGAAATCATGTATAAGGTTTCCACCTTAGAAATTCAGGAAATCATGTATTAGGTTTCCACCTAAGAAATTCAGGAAATCATGTATTAGGTTTCCACCTTAGAAATTCAGGAAATCATGTATTAGGTTTCCACCTAAGAAATTCAGGAAATCATGTATTAGGTTTCCACCTAAGAAATTCAGGAAATCATGTATTAGGTTTCCACCTAAGAAATTCAGGAAATCATGTATTAGGTTTCCACCTTAGAAATTCAGGAAATCATGTATTAGGTTTCCACCTAAGAAATTCAGGAAATCATGTATTAGGTTTCCACCTAAGAAATTCAGGAAATCATGTATAAGGTTTCTACCTAAGAAATTCAGGAAATCATGTATAAGGTTTCCACCTTAGAAATTCAGGAAATCATGTATTAGGTTTCCACCTTAGAAATTCAGGAAATCATGTATTAGGTTTCCACCTTAGAAATTCAGGAAATCATGTATTAGGTTTCCACCTAAGAAATTCAGGAAATCATGTATTAGGTTTCCACCTAAGAAATTCAGGAAATCATGTATTAGGTTTCCACCTAAGAAATTCAGGAAATCATGTATTAGGTTTCCACCTTAGAAATTCAGGAAATCATGTATTAGGTTTCCACCTAAGAAATTCAGGAAATCATGTATTAGGTTTCCACCTAAGAAATTCAGGAAATCATGTATAAGGTTTCTACCTAAGAAATTCAGGAAATCATGTATAAGGTTTCCACCTAAGAAATTCACCCTTATTGGTTATTTAAAACATTGAAATGAACTAGGATAAAGATTTGCAAATTTTTTTTATGGAATTTTGTGTGGTAAATAGTAACTTCAATTCCAATTTCAAGGTCAAAGTGGATAGATTTTAAATCAAAATCCACAGGTTTTTAATATATAGATATAAGAAGATGTGGTATGAGGGCCAATGAGACAACTCTCCATCCAAGTCAAAATTTATAAAAGTAAACCATTATAGGTCAAAGTACGGTCTTCAACACGGAGCCTCACACCGAACAGCAAGCTATAAAGGGCCCCAAAAATTACTAGTGTAAAACCATTCAAACAGGAAAACCAACAGTCTAATCTATATAAAAATCGAGAAACCAGAAACACTTATGAACCACATCAACAAACGACAACTACTGAACATCAGATTCCTGACTTAGGACAGGTGCAAACAATTGCAGCGGGTTTAAACGTTTTAATGGTACCAAACCTTCACCCTTATCTGAAACAATAGTGTAACATCACAACATAGAAAGACACACTATAAAATATCAATTGAAATGGCTTAACTCAATCAAAAGTATGGTTTAGAAATTTTTCTGCAAAATAGCTTATTTTAAATATTTGTATTGAGAGAATTCCTATCAAAAGTCACCTTATCACTTTGATGTAAATGTATACTGTTGGGTCATTATGTTACTGGCAGTTTGACCAAAACCTTATGTCAATAAATTTATACACACTCAATGAATTTAGTGTAAAGACATCATAAATAAGGAAAATAGGACCTTGTGCACTAGAAAGGATGTAGAACTATAAGTGTTGATAACTGTATAGCAATGCATATTTAGCCATGCTTCAACCTACTGACAACAAAACAAATGTCTGCACAGAAAAATACAATATTTAAAGATGTATATTGCAATCTTGATGTACATTACAGTACAGATCAGTATAACATGACTAGAATGTTTAGCCACAAAATGTGAAGAGCAGAAAAGAAACATATCAATCAAATTCTTAGGCATTCAGAGTAGTATTTTCTTAGACAAACAGTGTAAACAATTCGTAAAAATTCTGTGTCATGCTATCATTTGAATGATATTCATTTTAGAAAATGTTGTATTGACTGTAATCAATAGTTATAATATAACAAACTTCATATAAGGAAAGACATTTGTACTTTAGAATATTGGCTGAATATACTTATTCATTGGCCTCAGACTGATTACAATAAAAGTTATCAGACAGGTCAGCTAAAACCTGAAGAATAAGACTGTTGTGTCTGTATTTCATAATTGGATGTTTTCATATTATATAAATGTGTGAAAGTGCTATGAAATTTGGCGCAGTTATTTTTATTGATGTGTTACTTCATGTGAAAGAAATGATGGGGATATGTGTAAAGACTTGATTATTTTATCACTGTTTTTTCAGTGATGTAGAAAAAAATTGCTATACATCATTGGAATGGGAATGGTTAATGCATTATTTTGTTAAAAAGCAATTTTTACATGAGTTTTTTTTAAGCAAAGAGAACACAAGTAATTAAAAATTTCAGATAATTGGAAGAAACTATTTGGGTGAAGTAAAGTATAACTGTTAAGAACAGAAATTTTTAGATAAATTATCACCATTATAAAGAATTGATTCCTCGGAATTCATCTCAGAATAA